CTGAACTGGGATGCTATAAACAATCAAGGAATGCGGTATGAGACGTTTAAAGAAAAAGTTTTCAATTTTACTGAAGGTGATTATGACCCTATTATTGTTTCGTATCCGAATTTTTTACGTCCATCTGTTAAAGATGGATCAGTCACCACCTTACCTCTTAAAAAAATTTATAAACCCTATGTCGGTAAGGGAGTAGTCCGCCCTTCCGATTTTTCTGTGTTGGACTTTGGATTTATTAATTTGTAATTTTCCCAAATTGGAGATGGAAAGTAGCCAGGGGTATGGGCACCCAAACTCTATACCAACCATCGTAATGTTGCGAGTCACACCACTCATTGACTTGTCGATGAATATCAAATGTGTTATTCACATATTGTGTGGTAATCCTCGCATTGAAAATCGGTGGTAGCGGACTTGAGTAAATTCTCAAGTCCCTGGTTGAGTTTGGTGATGTCTGTCGAATGGCGAAGCCATTCTCCTTCCTTTTTTTATTCACTATATTTTTCTATTTATTATTTAATCATTATTGTATTTAATTTTTATTCGTAATAAAAATTTTATAATATGTTATTTAAAAAATACAATATTAAGAAAAATTAAGATAAAATAAATTACAGAATTAACAAAAATAGGTTTACAATTTTAGGGGTAAAATTGCGTAATTAAGGAAAATATCTTACATTTTTTAAAAATAAATTTACATAATTAAGTGTAAAGTGCAGAATTAAGGAAAAGAACATTACAATTTTAGGGGTAAAATTGCATAATTAAGGAAAATATCTTACATTTTTTAAAAATAAATTTACATAATTAAGTGTAAAGTGCAGAATTAAGGAAAAGAACATTACAATTTTAGGGGTAAAATTGCGGAATTAAGGAAAAATATTACATTTTTAGCATTTTTCAATGTATATAGTGGTACATACAAGGGGTGCATATACATATAGGGTGCATAGATATCTTTACCATTTGTCCTGACTCAGGTCTCCTCTATAAATTTCATCATCATCCTCATCCTTGTTCATAAATATTGTTGGACTTCCAAGTGAAGAAATTGAGTCTGCCTTTGATTTGTCTTCTTGAAGTGTCAAACGCCCCATCTCTACTGCTAAACGATTTATCTTATCCATGTGTTCTTCATCAACGAATTCCAATACCTCCAAAGGATAAAAACGATCCTTCTCAAACGGTCTGCGATCGATAACACAATTCAAATAAGGGTTGCGCAGACGGATGCGATGTCGTGTGTAAAAATGTTGTGATATAGTAACATTATATGGTCGTCTAAGTCGCCCATAGGCAAAAATTCTGTTTGCGCCTTTTCTTGTCAAACCTCCGAATAGAAAGGTTTTTCTTTGATAATTTTTGTTTAAATATGTTGTTTGGACTTCACGATCCAAAAATTGTTTCATAACTCGTACACGAGTTTGAGGATTTACTAGGTGTCCGCTTAGACTAAGGACTGAACATTCAAGGAAGCGAGCGATTTCATCGATTACACGGACCATTTTTGAATGAATTTAAAAAATGAAGAATGAAAATTTTTTCAAAGTATTTTGCTTATATATGCCTCGGATCTCTTGATTTCATAATCCTTTATTTGACCTAGTTACATTTTTAATTTGTTATTACTACCTGCTGTGAGGTGTGACCTATTTAATCGATCTGCATCATAAAACACAATTCATTATTAAAATGAGCGAAGAAAATTACGAAATCATAAGATTTGTCAATGGAGTTCACGAATATCGCGAATTTAAAATAAGGACATATGTGCATTCAATTAATGATGCCTTAAAAAATCACATTCAACTTGACATGGGGGCAAGACTTAGTATTCTCATCAATTATTTTCGAGCAGGAAAATGGTGTTCTGATTGTCTCGGTTTTGTTGTGAAACAGATGCAGGAAGAAATATTGGTTCCTAAGGATGAAAAATCTTTTGTATATGGTTTCTATCTATGTCCAGAATGTGCAGATATTACAAAGAACTATCTCGATAATTTATAAGTTTTTTCACAATTTTTTGTACAAATAAATCTGGATCATTTTGTTTATCTAATAAAGTTAAATATTCATCAAAGCTGTATCCCTTTGAAAGAAAATAGGTAAATGAAATACAATGGTGGGCACAACAATTTGAATAAGGGGACTGATATGTCCTAGCATTTCTACTTACAATAGAAAAATTTTTTAAAAACGAATTTATAATACAAATACTTGTTGGAAGGTTTAGACTATCAAAATAGATTGCCTTTCTTTTATCTTGTACGTATATGGAAATCCAATGTGAACCTTCATATCCTTGAGGGTCCAAATTTACAATTAATACTTTTCCTTGCATTGGTTGAGGAAGTTCATTACACGGAAAACATCCTTGAAAGATTAGATTTGTGTAAGGGTTGGAGTTCAATATCGTTGCTATCTGACTGTTGTACATTATTTTTAGGAATATTAGTTTTTAACCAAAAGACTGAGCGGAGTTGATAAATAACTAGGCTGACAAAAAGCATAATATATAGTCCAATCATACTCCAACAAAAAACATGACTGTAAAAACTATTGTCTTGTGGTCCTTCTTTGCATAATTCAATTGCTGGGAGAGTTAGTATTGGTGGACTTGGTGCTGAAATTCTTTCAATAGTGTAATTCTTTTCAGGGTATCCTGCTCTTCTCAAATATTTTGAATACTCTGGAATTTCTTCCAATTTATCCATAGCTTCTTTAGTTAGCTCAACACTCGGAGCAAACAAACGGATTAAAAATAAAGATAGTAAAATTCCTTTCATTTTTTCAAATGGTTGTATCACTAGCTATGGTTCGGTTTTTATCCAGCATTATAAGGGAGTCTGCCTCACCCATCACAATGAGCATGGCTCCACCGTCTGGAACAGGTTGACTAAATTTAATATGCACTGCTGTCGTTCCATTTTTGATCAAATCAAATGTTCCACTATTATCGTCACCACTATTTGTTAGGTTGAACACATATATGCAATGTGTCTTTCCATATTGTTGGTAAGTGATCCCATTATTTTCATTGGAATTTATTAAACCTGTACCTTCATTCATATCGTGGAAGGCTCTAACATATCTCCCATTTTTATAATCAAAATCATAGGGTGCCTGGGGATAAGGTCTTCCATTAGCAATAATACTAATTTCCCTAACATTAAAATGTTGAAAGTTGAAGGGACTTCGTCCAATATTTCCAACATAATCTGAATTTGCAACTAGTCCTAGTGTGAGTCTTCTAGGAATTTGATCCATGAATAGGTTTGCATTAAATTCATAACGACCTTGACTTATGAAAAGGGGTTTCATCATTGTTTTCCTTATAGCATAACGAGCAGGTTTAGTTTCTAATTTTCTTGCAATATCTAAAGAGAGTCCATCCATCAGATCAACCTTTTTCACATAGAGTTTACAGCTTACAACTTCAAATTGGTAGGTTGATGTTTGTGCTAATCCGTTAGCTGGTGGGGCAATCAATACAAATTTTGCCTCATTTGGGAGTATCTCAACGTCAATTTCACAATGATTGATTAAATAAAGAGGCTGATTGAATATGTCTGCGTCAAGTTTTGAAATAAATTGTGCAGTTTTGCTTAGAGAAAATAGACTTTTGCTTGTAGTGAATGCAGTGCCAGCTTCAAGATTTGTGTCTGAATCATAATAATAGCCGGCAGCATTCAAGTGAGAATTTTTTGCTCCTAGAGAGTAAGACAGTTCGTGTGAAAAGTAAGTTTTGTATGCATAGAGAGAATTTGAATTAAAAATTTCTCTACCGTTTACATTAATTCTCATGTTATTAATAAAGGTTTGGCCTATGAGTTGTATTGGTGCAACATTATCTGTTGCTATCAGATTTGTCAATTTTCCATCAGTATCTACTTTTTTAATACGAAACTCTGTGAATAGATATACTTTAGATAAATCTATGTAATTTTGACTACTATGAATTTTAAAGTGATATGGCGTATCTGATAGAGGATTGCTGGGTAGGATTTCAAAGTTTTTGGACGATGAAATACTTACATTTGTAGGTGGAACTTGGAAAAAATCTAGTGCGTTTGTGATAGAATTTATACTATCACGATCAATTTTATGAAAGGACATTTTAATAAAATCCAAAGGTATCAGATCTTAATCTTTTTCTTTTTAGAAATTTTTGATTACTGGGAACAGGTTTTCTTTTTATACCCCTTCCAGCTCCAAATTGTTTGGGTAAGCCTCCTTTCTCTAATACTGTGTCAATTCCCTTTTTTCCTTCCGAGACTAGTGCTTCTTTTACTGGTTCTCCTTGAATAACCCTACTTAGTGCTCGTTGGCCTGTATTTAGTGCTTCCTCTGATACAGTAGTACCAACTCTTTTCATGATTGGAAGGAAATATCTCCAAATACCTCTCATAATGTCTCCAACTCCGGCTCCTTTTTGTCCATATCCTCTCTGAAAAGGAGCTGCTCCTTTGAAGTATTCATCTGAGACTCCATCTCCCCTCATTGGGAGAAAATCATCATAACTTAAAGTGTTTGTATCAAATAAAATGTGAACCATTTTTCGTTAGAATGAAATTTAGAAATTTATGACCTTCTTAAATATGAGGACCAGTAGCACCGTCCCAAATTCAAATGGTACTAGTCGTCCGTTATCCATTGTTCTAAGTTCAATCTCAATTTCATTAACTTCCTTTGGTAGGACCCTTGCGTAAATGGGTGAATCGTAAATTTTTTCATAATATTCTCCAGGTGTTGCTCCTGCAACAGAAACAACTCTCAATAGCGAGCTGAGTGAGTTACCGATAATCATATTTTCGGTAAGTCCCTTAGAGTATACTGCAAAACTTGAAAATCCTCCGCGTAAATCACAGCCATATTTGGCTACTTCATTATTTCGAACCATATCAGGGTTTTCAAATCCTAACACATAACCAAGCTGATTTGAAAAGGAAAGATACTTTATCTTTGGATGATTGAACTTGACTTTAAATCTTTCAAAGTCAACGTGATAAAATATTTCAATTGCATCAATAATTTGTTTTTGGACTGATGAATCTATTTTGTCCTTTTTTAATCTACCATACTGACGCAAAAGTGCTGGCATATTTGGTAAATAGTTTATTCTGGTTTGTCTTGTTGGTGTTTTTCCAAGAATTTTTGTTAGTACATGTTCCATTTCTTCAGTCCACAGAGGATCTTTAAAGATAGCTTCAGGTTCTGGAAGTTTTGGAAGTGTAGGTGAACTAGGTGAGGATTGCCCTTCGGTTGAAGAAGGAGATAGAGATCTTAATTCTTCTTCATTTTGTGTTAAAGGTAGAGGAGTGGGCAGAGAAGGTTGTGTTGGAGGTTGAGGAGTCGTAAGCTGAGGGGAGGGTTTTGGTCTTTGAGGAGCAGATTCTGGTGGTTGAGGTAGAGTTTGTGGAGTGGGTTTCAGAGGTTGAGGTGTTGTGGGTTTTGGAGGCTGTTGTAGAGTTTGTGGAGTGGGTTTTGGAGGTTGAGGTGTTGTAGGTTTTGGAGGTTGAGGTGTTGCAGGTTTCGGAGGTTGAGTTGTAGTTTGTTGTGGAAGTTGTGGTGAGGGTTGTTGCGGAAGTTGTGGTGTAGGTTTTGGGGGTTGGGGAGTCGGTTTTGGAGGTTGTGGAAGTTGTGGTGAGGGTTGTGGCGGAAGTTGTGGTGTAGGTTTTGGAGGTTGTGGAAGTTGTGGTGAGGGTTGTGGCGGAAGTTGTGGTGTAGGTTTTGGGGGTTGGGGAGTCGGCTTTGGAGGTTGTGGAAGTTGTGGTGTAGGTTTTGGAGGTTGTGGAAGTTGTGGTGAGGGTTGTGGCGGAAGTTGTGGTGTAGGCTTTGGAGGTTGAGGAGTCGGTTTTGGAGGTTGTGGAAGTTGTGGTGTAGGTTTTGGAGGTTGTGGAAGTTGTGGTGAGGGTTGTGGCGGAAGTTGTGGTGTAGGCTTTGGAGGTTGAGGAGTCGGTTTTGGAGGTTGTGGAAGTTGTGGAGTGGGTTTCGGAGGTTGAAGTGAAGTTTCTGACGTAGGTTTTGGAGATTGTGGAGTCGGTTTTGGAAGTTGTGGTGTAGGTTTTGGAGGTTGAGGAGTCGGTTGTGGTGGGTGTGGTGATGGAGTTGGAGATTTTGTTTTGGGTGGTGGAGGTTGAGGAGTAGGTTTTGGAGGTTGCGCAGGGGGTTGGATTGGCTGTTTAACTGGTTTTTCTTGTTCTTTTTCAAATGCTGGTGATTTGCTTCGAGGCGAAGTTTTGAATTCCTCTTCATCAGATGATAGAAGTGGAAGATTTTTAAGCTCCTCTTCGTCGGATGATAGAACAGGGAGTGATTTAAGTTCACCTTCAGGCGATAGACGTGGAAGTGATTTAAGTTCACCTTCAGGGGATAACTTACGTTTAGGCCTGCGGACTTTGGGTTTATCAACCAATGTTTCTGGTAAATCCAAAGGCGAAGATTCTAATGTGCTACTTTGGTGTTGTAAAGTAGCTATAATGAATTGAAGCAACTCCTCTGTTGAAGTATGTGAACCTCTAGGGATGGGGACACGGATAACACTAGCCTGTCCATCATTTCTAGTAAAATGGATGTCAATCCATTGTTCATCTAGGGTACCGATAGTTGAAGGCCACGAATAAGGGTAGCTAATGCTATGAAGACCACACACCCAGTCACCAGAAAAATATAATGGTTTTGGTAAATGGACTCTAAATTTATTTGGTTTGTTATCGGGGTAATCGGGGACATTGCTAGGAAGATAGACAAAAAATGTGTTTGACATTTTTTACTTGTGAATAGTGAAAAAATCTGTTCTTTTATACTAACTGCGTCTCATGAATCCATTCTCTTTCAGGATATCCCATAAACTTTACTAAAAGATCATATGTTCCATCTGGTCTCTTTTTCTTTTTCACAACTTTTTCAATTCTATATTCAGTATCAGCATCCTTACGAACGCGAGCTAATTCCTCTTTATAGAATGATCCTTTAAACTTTTCACCCTTTTCATCTTGGACTTTATAGCGAATGGGATCAACATTATCTTTAACTCTTTCAATTTGCAATATTTCATCTCCCCAGTTTGGGATGTATCCCTTTTCGAATACTCCTTTCCCTACGCTCATTCTGATATAATCTCCTTTCTTTAACTTGGGTCTCATCCTTTTATTTGAAAATACGTCACCATATATCATTTCCCATACATCTTGAGCATTATCAAAATTTACGTCTATAGGTCGCATACCATGTACTCTGCTTTTTGCTTTATTTATTCCCTCGATAATTTTGGGAAGGACTTGAACCCAATCCAGAGTTTTATTTTGTGCAAAGTACCGATAAATTCTCTGTTTAATATTACGTATAGCTCTCTCAGCCAAGGAGGCCTTAACGGTAGAGTGAGTTGCCTCTAATTTTTGAATCTCTTCCTTTTGAAAAAATTCTTTCATTAGAGAATTTTTAAATTCTGTTCCTTTATCCGAAAATATACGATGAGGTTTCATAGGCATTTGTTTTAATAATAAATCAAATGCTGTTACCATATTCTCTCCGTTTTTTGATTTTACTGGGACTCCGAATATTCTTTTGGAAAGGACATCGATTCCTAATAGTAAATATCTATTTCCTTGATTATGTCTTGATAATTTTTGAAAATCTGCAAGATCAACTTGAACATCTGTCATAAAACCTGTAGGTATAGTTTTTGCCCTTTTAAAATGAATGCGCCTCGGGCGCATCAACGTGTATGTCCTATGACCCTCCAAATAATCCTGTATAACTCTTTTAGGTATATGTTTGAGGACTTTTCTAGCCTCTCTCCAGAGTCTATCAACACCTGAAAATGCTGCGGGCGATTCAGGATTGTTGTAAAGATTTTGCAAAAGTTTTGTATAGTCTGCCATTTTTATCTCCATAATGCTGGGCTGAACCTATTTATAGGACTTCTCCTACTTGAGGGTTTCCTCTGGGCCCATTTAACTGTGTTAAATTTTTTGGAAGAGTATGTTCTTTTCTTGAACTTGGGAGTTTTTATTTCGGGTTTCTCATCTTTTGTGGTAATATTTTCTGTTGGTAATGAAGAGGGTAGATCTTCTTTTAACGTTGACGTCGTATCAGATCGACTTTGAAAAGATGGGGATGAGAAATCTTGAGTCCACATATCATCTTCTTCAGTTAAGCTTGTTGTAGGACGAGCCATGATACCCTTTGAACTAGCCACCATCTCTACTTTGACTGGTCTATTCTGTTGTTCATTTCTTAGCTGTAGATATCGTCTAAACTCCTGATTGTAATTAATATTTTTAGCACTAGGTGTCTCTTTTTTACGTTTGGTTTTTTCTAAACCACGACGAATAAAATCCAAATTTGGTTCACCCGTGTCATGAGTTGTAAGTCCTTTGTAAATTTCCTCTGGGACCAGAATAAATTTATTTGCCATTATTAAAATTGAGTTTAGTTGAAATTTGGTTCTTTTATAGACGCGCTCCCTATCATTCTTGCGACCTCAACAAGTATAGGTGTAAGGAGGGCAGCAAACACTCCGACACCTCCACCTTTTTGATTTATAACATGTCTTGCTCCTCTTTCACTTCTGACTCTGCTCATACAACGAACAAATTCTGAATAGGGTAATAGACGTCTCTTTTGTTGGATAGTTAGATGAAACCTGGACTTTACAATATTAAGGCAAATTTCTGCTATTGCTAAGAGTTGATTTGTATTTGAATGTCTCAATAGTCTCTTACGTTTTCTTTCAGATTTTGTCTTGGATAATAATTTTAAAAAATCAATGTTTTTATGAACTAGTTGGCTAACCATTTTTTGGAATAAAGATAAGTTTCTCTTCATCGTCCTTAAATATGTTTGTTCTGAGACGAAGAGTTGGATCTGATGAAGCGTGCATGTCTATGACCAAATATCCATATTGATGTCTGGTTGCTTGCCGATAAGCATCGAGGAAATAATCCAACTGTCTTGGAAATAATTGTACACCTATATTTCTGACAGAAAGCATAGAGTTGGGTGATCTCATTATAATAATGTATTGAGAGTTTTGGCGTGCAACCTTAATTTTGGGGTCAAATAAATTTTGTGCGACAAAAATTATGGAGAAATTTTGGTGATGGGATTTTTTGGTAAATAATTCTGATAAATATTTTTCGTTAACAGATAGGAGTAAATCGTCTAGAATCAGTAGTAGAGGCTTTGGATATTTTTTAATCAACTCCTCTGGAGGGACACCTGCAAATACACCGACTCCTGATTTTTGTAAAAGGGGTACAATATTGTTCATTTCACCAAAACAATAGAGTATTGATTTTGGACTGGGGTCGATAAGTTCACTAGAGCCTGCAATGAATTTTAAAAGAAATGTACTTTTGCCGCTGGAACTAGGACCAGCTAAAATCATTCCAAAAGGAAGTTTAAATTTTAATTCTTTATTTGAAAATAAATCCATAATGAATACAATAAATACATAGAAAAATCATTTAAATATCTTTTCAGTCCGTTGGTATTCCCGTTACTGAAGCATTTAAGCTTTGGAAGAATTCATCTATATCCTCTTTTGATGGAAGTGAATCTGTGTGTTGAGATGTCTCCTCTGGTACTGTGTTGGGGATTTGGGTTGGTTGTGGTGTAGCAGGCTCTGTCTTAGGGCAGGGAACCACAGTTTGTGTAGTAGCATTGTAGGGTACATTAAAGACTCGTCCTTTGTTTTTTACTTTGAAAAAACAATGCCCAGGTAAATCGAAGAATGTATCAAATGGAGCAAAACGACTTCCTTCAAATCGCGTGCAGTAGATCACAACTCCTTCTTTGACTATTATAAAATCTAGTTCGACTTCTGTGCTTTTACATGAACGACACTTCCCAACCTGGTCATATGGAATGAAACGGGGAGTATTAAAACGGGGACTGGAAATTGTGATCCCACTAGAGGTGACGTTAAATTCAACCTCTGGAAAAATTTTTGGAAAATTTTTGGAGTTCATATTAAATTAATTACATTTAGGAATTATTATCTCCTTTTATACTACTCCAGGACTATTAGACGGGAAGTAAAAGAAAGGGGTCTCAATCTTTTTAACAATTACCCTTTTTCTCTAACTTAGTACTATTTCCATTTTAATTTCCATTAATTCCTATTTTTCCTATTTTTTTTAAACATTTTTCCTATTTTTAAGGTCAATATTTTCCATTAAAAGAGAACATTTTTTCTAGGTCAGAGATTACCTAGAAATTTTTTTAACAAAAGAAAATTTTTACAAAAGAAAAATTTTTCCAGGCTAGGATGACCTAGAAATTCAAGAAAAGATTTTAAAAAATACAAAAGAGAAAAGGAAAAGTTTCAGTTGACCTATAAAATCTTTAAAAAATTCAAAAGGAAAATGAACGCACGCTGTGAGAAAATTACAATAGAAGAAAATCAAAAGAAAATTTTTGAAAAGGAAAAGGGAAAAAATAAATTTTAAAATTTTTGGGGGAAAGGGACCTTTCGGTTTGATAGGTTCGGTACCGGATATTCCTAATTAGTGGACTATTAACCATAATTTAATTAAAGGGTAATTAGAGGATAATTACAAGGAACTCCATTATTTTATCAGTTATCATTGATAAGGCTTTTGGGATGATACCGGATGTCTTTAAACCTTTAGGATGACTTTAATTACGGACTAATTACAAGGAATTAATTAGGGATTAATTACATATTCTTATATCAGTTATCCTTGATAAGACCCCTTGGGATGGTACCGGATGTCCCTAAACCTTTAGGATGGTTCTAATTAGTGAAATAATTACATGGAATTAATTAGGGATTAATGTTGCGGACCCCTCTGCCCCTGACGACTCGGACGGGGGGTTAACTACTGACTGACAATTCCGAAGACATTTGCGGACGAAACTTGCGGATTTTGCGAACTGCATATTTTTGTTGACTGACGTTTGCAGACAAAATTTTTGCCGCCAAATTGAGGCTACTTACTTAGTCTTGCCCGCAAGTGTCGTATACTTAATTGTCGCCAGACATGGTCACGGATACTGATTTTGGTATCCGTATTATCAGTATCCACTTTGCCCGCAAAAATTTGCGGGCAAATTTGTTTGTCCGCAAAAATCCGCAAAATTTTGTCCGCAAAAATCCGCAAAATTCCGCAAAATTTTGTCCGCAAAAATCCGCAAAATTTTGTCCGCAAAAATCCGCAAAATTTTGTCCGCAAAAATCCGCAAAATTTTGTCCGCAAAAATCCGCAAAATTTTGTCCGCAAAAAATTTACGGACAAATTTTTGTCTGCTTTTTCTATGCATAAAATTTATTTTATTTTAGATCCATCAGCAATTGATTTATTTGAAAATAAAGAAGAAAATGTTACAGAAAATGACAATTTATCATCTGAAAAAGAATTGCGGTTGATGCAAAAAGTTTTTTTTTTAATTTGAAAAAAATTTTTTTAATTTTTTATTTTAGTTGGTTCACATTGAAATTCGTTTAATTGCCCATTTTTCACATAAGGAGGAAAAGCAAAGCATTTTTTTGATTAATCAAGAGGTTTGTTTTTGAAAATAATTTTTAATCCTACCTGGCCTCCTTGAAGTGTCTCTTGCGGACAAAATTTTGCGGACTTTTTTTTAACTTGCGGACAAAATTTTGCGGACTTTTTTTTGACTTGCGGACAAATTTTGCGGACTTTTTTTTGAACTTGCGGACACGTTTACTTTTTTGGGCCTAATGACGTTTTTACGAACTCTTTCCAGACTTGCGGAGAGTTTTTTCAGACTTTTAGTCTAACTAAATCCGCAAAAAATTTTCGGCAAAAATTGTTCGCAATTTCAAAACCTGTTAAAATTCTTGTTTTTTTTTCTCTAGTAAATCACTTTAAAATAATACATGTTGATTTTTCCCAGACTTGCGGACAATTTTTCGGGGATTTTTTAGACTTGCGGACGGATTTTCAGTCTTGCGGACAAAATTTTTGCGGACCTTTTTTGAACTTGCGGACTTTTTTTCATACTTGCGGACAAATTTTGCGGACCTTTTTTGAACTTGCGGACAAAATTTGCGGACTTTTTTCGAACTTGCGGACTTTTTCCAACTTGCGGACAAATTTTGAGGACTTTTTCCAACTTGCGGACAAATTTAGTTCTTAAAAATTTTGTCCGCAAAAAGTGTCCGCAACTTCAAAAACATGATAAAATTCTTATTTTCTTTCTCTAGGTGATCACTCTACTTGTTCAATATATTAGCGAAGCCCCTGAAATGGATAATCGCTTGGCTAGAGCATTGCGTCGACTTTCTTGTCATCAAAGTGGATTGCCTTTATTGCTTGAAATGAATTTTCAACGAATTATTATTTCGAGGCTTATAAGAAGGAATTGTTTATTAAATCGGTTTTTCTTTATAAAAATTAATTTTTATTATACATTATGACCTCGTTTTTAAATTCTCCCTGGGAGGAAAATTGTCTCTTATAATGAAGGGTATCTTAAATAGAGGAGTACCGCTTAGGCGGCTGCTCTCACCTGGTGACCAGCCTAATTTTAAACCCGTCTCTTAAATTGAGGTGTCTCTTAAATTGAGGTGTCTCTTAAATTGAGGTGTCTCTTAAATTGAGGTGTCTCTTATATTGAGTGTCTCTTATAAAGAGGTTGTATTTTATAACGAGGTGTACGTTGAATAGAGGGTACCGTTTAGTCAGATCTCCCTCCAATAGGCAGCCTAATTTTAATAAACGTATCTTAAACGGAGGTGTATCTTATATTGAGGGTCTCTTGTATTGAATGTCTCTTATAAAGAGGTTTGATAGTAATTCGAACCTCCTTATAAGCTACTCTCAATATTATGCATATTTCAGTTTAAGGCACATTTTTAAAATTTGGTTGACCACCACAGGGTAGGTTGATTACCACCTCTTTTTAACATACACCTCATTATAAGGTAACCTCAATCTAGACAAATTTAACATGTTGTCCATTGCGTGGGGAGTGCTCTTTAAGCAATGCCCTCCATTTAACGTACACCTCATTATAAGGTACGTTGTCCATTGCATGGGGTGTGTTCTCTTAGCGATACCCTCCATTTAACGTACTCCTCATTACAAAGTACAATTTTGCCCTGAGGGTGTACCTTATAGTGAGCTTTCCCTTTTCAACTAATTTTTAGTTATGCCCGCCCATGTGGTCGTTGTGACGTACGTCGAGATTTTGGACGTCTACTTTTGTCTGATCACGCTTTACTAGCTGATTCTAGAATGGGGGAATATATTTTACTTACAACACAAATGGACCCAACTAAAAATCTTTTGGATTCTACAGATGAGGAAAATAAAAGAATTTATACATTAATGGCTGCAGTGGTTTATTTTTTAATTTATTTTTTGCGGACAAATTTTTGCGGATTTTTATAGAAAAAAATTTTTTGCGGACACTTTTTGCGGATTTTTATTTAAAAATTTTTTTGCGGACAAATTTTTGCGGATTTTTCGAAATTTTTTTTTTGCGGACAATTTTTTGCGGATTTTTCTAGAAAAAAATTTTTTGCGGACAAATTTTTGCGGATTTTTCTAAAAATATTTTTTGCGGACAAATTTTTGCGGATTTTTAGAAAAATTTTTTTTTGCGGACAATTTTTGCGGATTTTTTTAGAAAAAAATTTTTTGCGGACACATTTTTGCGGATTTTTAAAAAAATTTTTTGCGGACACTTTTTTGCGGATTTTCGGGAAAATTTTTTTGCGGACAATTTTTTGCGGATTTTTCTTTTATGTAAGTTCTGCAAAGGTCCGCTAAATCTGTCCGCAAGATATTTATTTTTCTCGAATTTGCCCAATACATATTCTTGCGCATAATTTATGCGGACTTTTCTAATATCTATAGAAATATCCGCAAACATGCGAATTTTTTCTCTCCACTTTCTGACACTTACGGATTTTTTTTTTCTAAAAAATCTGCAAAAATTGTCCGCAAGAATATTAGGCATTTCTAAAAGTAAAAATCTTGCGGACTTTCTGTGAAAAATATGGGGACATTGTGTTTAGTCCGCAAATACGTACTTGCGGACAGTACGCAAAATTTTGCGGACTGTCCGCAAATATTGTCCGCAAAAAAAATTTTTCTTTCTTTAAATTTATTTTAGATTTTAATTCGGCAGCCTGAACGCAGATCCCGTTTCTTTTTAAAATTTCGGCCAATTGAAGCTATTTTTGATGTATTTGGAGATTTGTTGCGTAAATGTTCGCAAAATGAAATTTCACTTGAAGATGGAAGTAGAGAGGTTTTTATTTTTGATCAGTCGACCTCATTATAGGATACCCTAATGCTGGATACACTCCATTTTAGAATACTTTTTAGGCGCTTGAGTTCTATATCCGAAAAAAATTGTCCGCAAAAAAGTTTGCGGATTGTCCGCAAAAATTTGCGGACTGTCCGCAATTTTTATATTTCCCTTTTTTAAGATATTTGTTTCTTAGCCACATATATGGAGTTGACTAAGCAATATCCTCTATTTAACGTACACCTCATTATAAGAGACGGATTTTCAACCCATAGGGGAGTCTTCTAATCAAGGTCTTGGGTTTTGTTTTATAGGAAAAACTTAAGAATACTCTCTCGAATATGGATAATTTATTTTTCATTCGAAAGAGCTCAATGAGAGAAGTCGAACGACACCAAAATTAATGAGCAGTGTCAACCACGGGTCGAGATATAGGTTCGAAATGGTCAAAAACCTCAAATAAAGCTGATTTTGGTGCATTTGATACAGTTCGACGAGCACTTTTGAATGCGTTTTTTGGCCATATTGTGGTTTTTGACCATTTCGAGCCCTATATTTTGGTCCATAGTTGAGACCGCTCGTTGATTAGTCCGCAAAAAATTTGCGGACAGTCCGCAAAAAATTTGCGGACTGTCCGCAATTTTTCTAATTTGCTTTTTTCTGATAAAAATAAAAATTTTTAAGGCAACTCTATGTTGTGATATAATAGCTACATTAGCCTGTATATTCCCCCACCAACTCTTAGAATCATCAACAACATCAATTAGCAATTTTATACCTATTGAAGCTACAAAAAGCGACCAAAAATGTCTTTTACTTGGAAAAAATTTTGAAAATTCAACAGAAGAAATTCTCAACTTTCGTAATAGTAAAGGACAACATTTATTGACGGTGTTAAAAGAAGACTTGTGCAATTTTAATGAATATTTTTCGGTTTAGATTTTTTTTTAAATTAATTTAAGGCTAGAGGGGACGTTTTAGTATAGGCCATATTTGTGGCCGCCCGAGGGCATATTTTTGGCCATAACTTTTTTGGTTCTTAACCGATTTAAATAAGCTTTATATCATTCGAAAGATCTGAATGTGAGGATTATTTTAGCTAACAGGACTGGGTTGATCAGACCATTCTAAATAAAGTTACACTTGGGTAAGTGCGTGCAATCGTGATGTTTGGTCTTTATTTGGCGGTAACTTTTGGCCATAACTTTTTTGATTCTTGATCAATTTAAATAATTAGCATATCAATCGAAAGCTCTGAATGTGAGCATAATTTTAGACTAACAGGAGTGATTTGATCAGACTACCCTACCAAAAGTTACATTTGGGTAAGTGCGTGTAATCGTGATTTTTGGTCTTTATTTGGCTGTAAATTTTGGACCATATCTTTTTTGATTTTTAACCGATTTAAATTTTTCTTATATCAATCGAAAGCTCTGAATGTGAGGATTATTTTATCCTACAGGATTGACGTGATCAAACCTCCCTACCAAAAGTTACATTTGGGTAAGTACCCGCAATCGTGATTTTTGATAGTTATTCAGCCACAACTTCAGGTAAGGTGATCCGATCAAATCAATCCTGTTAGGTAAAATAATCCTCAAAACAAGAGCTTTCGAATGATATAAAATTATTTAAATCGGTTAAGGACAAAAAAGTTTATGCCATAATTATGGTCTATGTTAATGAATAATGAGGGAAAGTCCGCAAAAAACTTGTCCGCAAAACTTGTCCGCAATTTTTTTTAAATATTTTTTTCCTCTCCAATTTCTAGGAACCTTTTTAGGCCCAGAACACCATCACGCAGTCCAAAGCCTTTAATTTAATTTTTTAAGGGAATGTTTGGAAGCGAATTTATTCAAAAACTTGAATATAAAGACCAATTTATTTTCGATTCGGAAGAGGAAAATTGTTGTTGTTCACAAGAGGATTTTATTAAATTTTTGGTATAATTTTGTTTTTTATTTATAAACTGGTACCCTTAAGTTTCTGGTTGAAAATAAGATTTTCGGATAATCCGCAAAAATTGTCCGCAAATAATTTTTGGGGTGGAAAATCCGCAAAAAATTTTTGCGGACAATCCGCAAAAAATTTTTGCGGACAAAAATTTGTCCGCAAAAATTTTTGCGGATTGTCCGCAATTTTTATTTTTCATTATATTAATTTTATAAGAAAAATCCGCAAAATAATAAGTAATTTTTAAAGCATTTCTCAATTGGTTGTCCATTGGGCATTGATTGTACTCTTGTGGATGATGCACAAACATGCGCTTCATTACTTTATGTAAAATTTCATTTTTTTCAAATTAAAAAAAAATAAAAAAAAATTTTTTGAAAATTTTTGAAAAATTTTTTTTTGCGGAAGTCCGCAAAAAATTTGCGGACAACTTTTTTGTCCGCAATTTTAAAAAATTTTTCAAAAAAATTTTCCAAAAACATTTTCCCTTTAAAAATATTTTTTCAGTTGGCCGATAAATACCTTTGCACTCGCCTTTTAAATTTTTTATTGGAGAGGGGTTTGGCTGCTCGTCTAATTACTGGGCAAACGCTTCCCCTCTTTCTTCCGTTGGTACTTGCAATTCCAACATTAGTTTATGGAGGTGGTCTAAAGGTTTATTTTTATTTATTTTTGGCCTGGAGATTTGACTTTTTGTGAGTTAGGGTTATCTTAAAAAATTTGTTGACTACCCACAAAAATTTTTGCGGACTGTCCGCAAAATTTTTGCGGACAGTTTTTTTATCCGCAAAATTTGGGTTTTTTCTCTTATTATTTTTGTCTGTTGACATGCTTTTGGGTGTTAAAAAGGAAAATCCGCAAAAATTTGTCCGCAAAAATTTTTGTGTATTGTCCGCAAAATTTTTTTTCTCTTTTTTTATTATTTTTGTCTGTTGACATGCTATTTTATGTTAAAAAAGAAAATCCGCAAAATTTTTGCGGACAATTTTTTTGTCCGCAAAATTTTTGCGGATGTCCGCAATTTTTTATTTCCCTCCCCTCAATTTTTTAATTTTTAGGATATTTGTATGTTAGCTCTTCTGCAATATTCAAATAATTCAGAACTTCTCTACACTCTCAGGCATATTTCAAAATGTGATTCGGGTAAATCAAAAACAAAAGCGATCGATTCTTTATTAGAAATGTTACATTCTTTTATAATTTGCCTTGATCAGGGATCGGATATTGCTTAATATTTTTTTAATAGTGTCCGGCTCCGGAACGGATCCGGGCGGTCTTTTCTGTAGTTTGGAAGTACGGTTTATTTTCCGGACAGGCTGTTCGACGGATCCGGAAAAATCCAGAACCGGAAGTAGTTATAGGCCCTACCGTATTTTCTCGATTAATTCCCCTGGGAAATTATTTTTTCAACCCTTCCTTGGCATGGCAAATTAATCGAGAGAGTGGGAATTATTCGAGCTTTCGCATTTGAACGTGTATTAGGCTATTTGGGGTGGGGAATTATTGTTTCAACCCAACTCTAGCATGAGGAATTAATTGAGAGGGGGAATTATTCGAGGGAGGGGAATTAATCGAGAAAATACGGTATATAGTTTCCAATTAATCCTTTGCTACTCCAAAAAACGACATCTTTTAGCAAAAAAGCTAAAGGATGTCATTTGTCGGCATCTCTTTTGACGGTGGGGTTTTGTAGGGGACCCCTTCGTCGATGGGAGATTGGGTGAGGAATACGGGCTGTAGAGGGGCAAAATTTTTCCGGATACTGAACGATCATGGAAATATTTAACCGAATCCTAGAAAATCCGACCTGATCCGGAATAATTCACTCGGATCCGTTCCGGCATTAGTACAAAATCCGGTATTCTGTTTCCGGATACTAAAAATCATTTTGCCGGACACTATTTTTTACATTAAAAAATAAATTTTATTTTTAATCCTAATTTTTCTTTATAACCCCGATAAATCTAAAATTTTTTCTACATTGTCTTCCTTAATTAAATTTGTGCTTGTATTTGTTTTTAGTTGAATATTAAATTTATTTTTTAAATTTTCTTCTTTTGTGTTTTCTGTAAAATTTAAACATCCGGTTGTTGACCTGTCTAACAAGCCAAATAATTTTGCATATTTTTCCTCGCTCAACATGAGTTCACATTTTTGACGATTTTCTTCGTTTAAGTTTACAAAGTGTGGGGGATAGAAGCCAGGTTGATAATAGGGTATTAATCCTGTTATAAGGAGAACCTCATTTTTAAATACACTCATTTTAAAATACACCCATTACTGGATACACCTTACTTTAAGATACGATTTTACTCTTGTTACCATTTTGTCGTTTTTTACTCCTTGTACTATTTTGTCGTTTTCAGTTATCGTGCCATTTTGTCGTTTTCTGCCCCAGGTACCATTTTGTCGTTTCAGTTATTGTACCATTGTCGTTTTTACTCTTGGTACCATTTTGTCGTTTTTTACTCTTGGTATAATTTTGTCGTTTTTAAACCTTAGTATTATTTTGTCGTTTTCTACTCCCTGAAGCATTTTGTCGTTTTTTACTTTGGTATCTTTTTGTCGTTTTCTACCCCAGGTAACATTTTGTCGTTTTTTACTCCTTGTACCATTTTGTCGTTTTCTACCCCTGGTACCATTTGTCGTTTTTTACTACTTGTACCATTTTGTCGTTTTTGTTCTTGTTTCCACTTTGTCATTCCTTAGCCGTTATACCATTTTGCCTGCCGTCTTTTACTTTGGTATCTTTTTGTCCTTTTTTAAGCCTTTTGTTAGTATTATTTTGTCTGGACATGAACTCTCTCCCAGCAAATTCGTTGTCCATTCTGTGGGTGATATAACCTCTATTTAATCTCGCTTCTTTCAACCCCAAAGGTGTATTTAATAATGAGGTTCAACGGATTATTTTCTATTTCTAGTTTAAAAAAAGACCAGCATAAGTTGCTGGTGCACATTGGCATGGATTGTCGTCCCTCCAGGTTGTTGACCAATCTGGCTCCCAACTGACATTCTGTGGTATTTGATCAAAGCGTTTAGGCATATCTAAAATCTTAAAGAGAACAGTTAGACCTCATTTTAAAGGACCCCCTCAAGGCTGAAGAATCGTACCTTATAATGGGGGGTATCTTAAATAGAGGGTCACCGTTAGGCACCTTGGTACCATTTTGTCGTACAAGATACACCTCAATTTAGATACGGTTTTAAAAAGCTGGGTTTCCGCCGGCTAGAGGGGTTGAATAAGAGGCACCCTCCCGATTAACATACGCCCTCAAAAATACAAATGAGATGTGCTTAAGCGATCCTTGTTATAAGGTACAACCTAAGCTACATACCTATACCTCTTTTTAAGATACACCTCATTATAGGATACATCCATGGCAATACTCTCGATATAAGATACCCCTCATTATAAGTAACTCATTATAAGGTAGCCCTTATTTTAAGGTAAACCTCTTTATAATATACATCTCATTATAAGGTACCCCTCTATTTAAGGTACACCTCATTATAAGGTACCCCTCAGTTTTATTTACCCGTAGACCTCATTATAAGGTACACCTGTTATAAGGTACCGTTGTTATTAGCCCCTCGATATAAGATACTCCTCATTATAAGGACCCCTCAGTTTAATGTACTCTTCGTTATAATATACCCTTCATTATAAGGTACAATTTTTAATCCAAAGAGTGGTCTCTAATAGCGAGCTTTGACTTTATCTTTCAAAAATTGAAAACTTAATTTTGCACGTAAGCGTAGACTCATTCCTATCCACAGGGACACCAAAATATTTGCACAGCCATTTATACGCCCGAATCCTCCGATTCTCTCCACCATTTCCTGGAGCTATTGGATCTTCGCCAGTACATTCATTATTAATTATAAGGCTTGTAGGGCCAAAGACGGGGCCGGAATACCCCGCTGCTTCGTTTTCGCTCCCAGCATTCCATTGACCTTTAAAACGTCTTTTATAAGGTAATATGGTTACTTTCCTTTGTACTCCTAAAACCTCATTATAGTATACACCCTCTATAAGATACTCTCAGTATAAGGTACACCCAGTTTAAGATACTGCTTTTCGTTGGTTGGCCATGGGATGGGAGAGTTTTCTGAACAAAACCTCTATTTAAGATACATCTCATTATAAGATACACCCTCTATAAGATACTCTCATTATAAGGTACAATTCTCTCTCTCTATCTAATAGGTACACCTCAATTTAAGATACGCTTGTTAAAATTTGGTGACTATCGGGGTGATTAGGCAAAAACCTCTATTTAACATATACCAATTATAAGATACAATCTCATTATAAGATACCCTCGCTACTAGGTACACCTCTATTTAAGATGCGGGTTTTCAGCCCCAGTTCGGTTTCTTATGAGGTTCTGGCTGTCCGATGGGTGGGAAGGACCCTCTATTTAATAGACACCTCATTATAAGCGACTATTTTTTCAGCCCTAAGTTGTATTTAATACAGAGGTTTTACTGTACTGTGCTTGCGGATTTTTGGCAGCACAAAGGAAAAGAACCCTCAACCACTAACCAAGAATTATATCATGCATAGCCGGTTTTGGGGGTTGTGGAGACATGTAGAACCACAAAGAGGCGAGTAAGGCGAGTGGTGGGTCTCTCTTTGTGAGCACAAGATTTGGGTAGGTTATCAAGTCGGCGCTAATGTTTTGTGTTTTTAGCCATTCTCCAAATTGGCCATAGTTGTAATTGTATGAAATCTGAAAAATTAAACAGACCTCTATATATATTGCCCCCAATATTAGGCATATTTTAAAGATGAGAATTAAAATTTCACTGGCTACTTGGGAGAGACAAGCGATAGTCCACTCTATCGCTTAATAGTCTCGAGGCCATAGTTTTGGTCATAACTTATTTGATTCTTGACCGATTTGAATAAACTTCATATCAATCAAAAGCTCTGAATGTGAGGATTATTTTATTTAGCAGGATTGATTTGTTCAGATCATGCTATCAAAAGTTGTGGCCGAATAACGATCAAAAATCACGATTTCGCGCACTTACCCAAGTGTAACTTTTTATTGAATGCTCTGATCTGATCAGTCCTGTTAGTTTAAATAAGCCTCAAATCCAGAGCTTTCGATTGATATAACACTCCTTCAAATCGGTTAAGAATCAAAAAAGTTATGGCCAAAAATATAGCCTCGAGACCGAGGCGCCGATTCATAGAGACATTTTTGCGGATTTGCAAACTATTCAAGTTATTATAAAACCCATTAAGGGACGATCCTGTACTTAAAGGTATCCCATAGTAGGGTCCAAGGGTCTCACACCTCACCGTCTGACCAAAATACCGTCAGGACCTCCACTTCGACGGTATTTTATACTCTAGGTGGACAGTATTTTGGTCGGACGGTGAGCTGTCCTGACACGAGTTCCTTGACACGAGTTCCATTACCTGAATAGCTCCCCTTCCAAAGTAACAACTTTTGAAATATTTTCCTTCAGTTTCATTTCCACATCCATAAAAAGGTGAAGGGGAACAGTACCTTCCACTTGCAATACATATCTCACCTCCCTCGGGTTTCATGCTTGTTGAGGGTGCCAAAAACGCGGAGACTGGCCCTCCCTCAAACCAGTTGAAGAGTCCACCGCGGAAAAAACAGGCATCCGCTTGTGATGAGTTCAGTCCACTATTTTATAGTTATGTTAGCGACACTTGCGATCAAACGACATTTGCGAACAAACGACATTTGCGGACAAACGACATTTGCGAACAAATGACATTTGCGAACAACGACGTTTGCGAACAAATGACATTTGCGAACAACGACGTTTGCGAACAACGACATTTGCGAACATACCTGAAGCCTATTGATCAGGGATTATTGATCATTATTGATCACCTATTGATCAGCCTATTGATTGGATCACATCTAGTACCCTGGCTTACACCTAACGTACTACTTTCATGAAGTCGACCTCGTTTTTAATTACCCACAATACTAGAAAACCTTAATTTAAGATACGGCTTTTTAATTTGGTTGGCAATGGTTGGGAGAGTTCCTAACCGTAACCCTACATTTAAGATACCACTCATTATAAGGTACGAGCTTTTAAGCCCCTTGGGTGTATGTAAAAAAGAGGTCCGACTGAAGTAGTAGTCAAAACAGAAAGCCTGGTGGGCATTCTCAATGTCGTTTCGCAAATGTCGCTTCGCAAATGTCTGTTCGCAAATGTCGCTCCACTTCTTACCTTGTTTGGTAGACTGAAACATCATTTAGTCCGGTCTCTTGGATCGCATGTGCCAAAAAGCTCGCCACATCTCTTCGACTATTCTCCCTCGGTGTGAAACCATTCTTCAAATCTACTTCCTTCCCAAACCGGGGGAAGTAACGAGCAGCTATTATAAAAGCCTCGAAAGAGTATGGTGAACAGGGGTGCGGTCCCCAGCCAAGATTGGAAAATGGAAAGAGATCGTCGAACATTTCTCGAGTAAACCAGCTTTCAAGACTTGACGGAGGGAGTTTATTTGGGTCTGTGGGAAGCTCACAGTGTGAGGGTGGATCGGCACCGGCAATTTTGTAATTTAATTGTATGGGACATTTGGTCGTCGGATAGTTTATAGGACATTTGGTCGACGGACATTTGGCCGGTGGGCATTTGATCGGGGGACTGTTGGTCGTTGGACATTTGGTCGGTGGACATTTGGTCCCAAGTGATTTTCGAAGGAAATAACAGGCTAATAAAATGTTTAGAAGCAAGTTGAGTTTTAGAGCCATTCTTTAAGAATAAAAATAAAAAATGTTTTTTTTTCATTTGGAAAATGTTTTTTGAAAAAAATATTTTTTGTTCTTTTTGCGCGGTGTAATTCAATAAGTCCTTTTTAAATCAAACAAAGAGCAAGTGACCGTTAGTCTATTTAAGTCTATTATATTTAAAAGGATTCTCAGCTCAAATTTCATTCCCAATAGATCAACACCCTGGAGAGTAGTGATCAAAATTTTTGAAAAGCGGACATTTGGCCGGCGGCCATTTGGTCCCAAGTGATCTTTGAAGGATAAAACAGGCTAATATGAAGGAAAAGGTTGGGTCACCGTCCAGAGTCCTGTTCCTGGGCTCTGGACGTTGATTAGTTGACCTGGGCCGGATCCTGGGCATGTAGTTCAGGAAAAATCCAGGAAGGTCAAAAAATGCCTGGACTCTGGGTACAGGAAAAACCCAGGCCTTGATCCAGACCCAGCTCGATCACTACTGGAGATTAACACCAGAATAGGAGTATCGATTCGGTACCGAACTGAAGGACGGTCAGGTTCCGGATATTGAAAAATTTTCCTAGAACCGACAACCGTACTCTAGAATCCAACACCCAAAGGTCAAATCACAAGTGATCAACACTCAATTGGTCAAACACCCGAATTGTCAACAATCTGATTGATCAGTTGCTATGTCCTTGTCTATGGGATTTTTAAAAGCGAAAAAAAAGCGAAACGCGAACGTTTTAAAAAGCGAAACGCGAAAGGCGAAATTAAATTTAAAAAGTGAAACGCGAAAGTAAATTAAAAAAACGACACGCGAAACGCGAAAGTCCAAAAAACGCGAAAATCCGCGAAAGGCGAAACGCGAAACTCGCACACCCCTGTTGTCTATGGGTGTGCTTAAGGAATACTGGGAAAACTAGCATACCGATAGACATCGAAGTTAATCCAAAAAAAATTTTAAAAATCAAAATTTATTTTTTTATTTCAAAAATTAAGGCTGCAAACAAATAATAGATAAAGTTGCCATTTTAATAGAAAATCACAGGGGACTAAAGACAAATTTTTCTTTAAGTGAAATTTAAATTTAAAGGATTGCTAAGTGAGTAATATTGCAATAATGAATAGAAAAAATTCAAAAAATAGTAAATATTTTGGCATTTTAAACTGAGCAGGCCAATATTTAACTCACTATAAGAGACCCCTTTGGAGCTGAAACTAGCGTACCTTATAATGAGGTGTTCTTTAAATTGGGGGTATTTTCAAGCAGTATCCCTAGATGAGGGTGTATTTAGTATTGGGGGTATCTTATACTGAGGGGTATCTTGTAAGGAGGTCTTACCTTATAAGGAGGTTGTACCTTATAATGAGGTGTTCCTTAAATTGGGGGTATTTTCAAGCATTATCCCTAGATGAGGGTGTATTTAGTATTGGGGGTATCTTATACTGAGGGGTATCTTGTAAGAAGGTCTTACCTTATAAGGAGGTTGTACCTTATAATGAGGTGTTCCTTAAATTGGGGGTATTTGTTGTGTCCGCACTTGCAGAAAGAACATAAATGAAAATAAATAACCCAGCAATGGGTTGGATGGTGGCACAGTCGGTTGTGCTTCGGTCTGGGCTCATTCCGTGATGGTTCAATTCCATCTCCCATCCACAATTTTTCCACAGTACGAACACTCGGACATGACAAATGGCGCAGTCGGACAGGCCAGGCTTAGCCTGAGGAAATTTCAGCGAACCTTCAAATGCTGTGATGATCTGACATTCTGTCACTGTGGAGAGTAAAAGGAGAAGACCCTGTGAGAAATTAAAAATGCCTGAGTTGTGATAGGCTAGCCGGTGGTGTGAGGCTATATAAATAAAAATGCGTAAGACGCCGATGATGCGCAGCGAGTAAGAAAAATAAAATGCCACAAATTGGTTTCTGTGTGTGCTCTCCAAAATCAAAACAGATGATAGTTATAGAAGACAAGCAACAAGCGAGGACGCTTGGTTTCGCAAGGCGGAAGGAGTGTTGTGTCCGCACTTGCAGAAAGAACATAAATGAAAATAAATAACCCAGCAATGGGTTGGATGGTGGCACAGTCGGTTGTGCTTCGGTCTGGGCTCATTCCGTGATGGTTCAATTCCATCTCCCATCCACAATTTTTCCACGGAGTGAATCACATCAAATCACCTCCTTATCATCCACAAAGTAACGGTCTTTGTGAGCGCTTTGTACGAACGTTTAAAAATAGCGTTTTAAAAGGGCTTGACGGCAATAACTTAAAAGACGCCATTCCTGAGTTTTTGAGTGAGTATAGAGCAAGCCCGCACCCTAGTCTAGAAGGAGAATCCCCTTCATATTTATTTTTAGGGAGACAAATAAAATCAAAAATTGATATAATTAAATATACACCAAAAGAAAATTTAAATAAGCCGAAAGATGAAGAAGTTGAAAATAAAGGAAAAAGCCGAAAAAGAAAAATATTTAAAATTGACGATTTAATTTGGGCAAGAAATTACACTGGAAATGATAAATGGTCAAAAGGGAGGGTAATAGAAGATAAGGGAGACTATATATATAGAGTTGAAATGGAGGATGGCTCATTCAAAACTTCTCATATAGACCAGTTGCGTAGTCGCGGAAACTACCAACTGAGATCCCGTAGCCCTAGTCCAGTCAAAGACGACTGAGATTCAGTAATTAAATCATAACCTAGTCAAAAATATAATATTTTTCGTTTTTTTACACATCCCTTTTTTTATAACTTGTTTTGTATCATTTACATTTTTTTTAAATATCCAATATTTACTTATTTCATAGTTGTTTTCAAAATAAAATTTTTGTGACATCAATAATTTTTTTAATGGACGACATAAACAACATCAATATGGAAGAACCAAAAGAAGAACAACAAACAACAAAAGAGCCCCTAATGGATAGGGAGAACAATTTGGTTAAAAATACTTCAAAAGCTAAAAATAATTCTTCAAATGTTTCAATTATTAATCATACTTCTTTCTTGGCTTTAATTCAAAAAGAAGGAAAATCAACACGTGAAACGGTCCAGAAGAGCCACGATTTCATTCGTGAGGCAATGCTTACTTTAAAAAATGAAATAGTGGGAGATGTGCTTCAAGCACTGAATCCACAACTTTCAAATTTTGAAGATCTTTTGAAAGAAATTAAAAATGAAATAACTAATAATGAAGAAAATAATTCGGATTCTATTTCTGTCAATGAAGAAATAAATAATGAAGAAGAAATGCAAGAAAATCTAGAAAATCCCGCCGAAATTTTGAGAGGCGGAGAGGCAAATAATCGTGAGGAAAATGCCACTAATCGTGAGGGAAATAATAATAATAATCGGGGAAGAGGAGGCCGTGGGCGTGCACAAAATAGACGCTCACGAGATTCCCGCTTATTCTTCCTCTTACGTCAAATTGATCGTGAGAGAGGCCATGAAATGGCTCGTGACCGTTTCCGTCCATATTACCCACGTGGCCGTGGAGATTACAACAACAACCAGTATAACAACAACAATTTCCGTGGACGCAATAATCGTGGAGGATACCGCCGTTGATCTTCTTAAAGGATGGAGGAGTGTTGGATACACTATTTTGATGTTTTGTTTATTTTAAATAAATGTTGTTTTTCCTATTCCCCTAAAACCATAATTTAAATATTCCTTATCAATTTATTTTAAACTCTCCTTTTCCTGATTGTAAACCCTTTAAACATTTCTTTATGTAATTTAAAATATTCCCCTCAAACATCTGTTTCCCTTTTATCTAAACATTTCATATTCAAAACATTCCCCTAAAACATTCCTTATCTAAACACCTCAACCTTAAATAAACCTTTACAACTTTCAGTCCATTTTATATTAAATTCCCGCCCTTTCTATAACCTATAAATATCCGTTTCTTTCTCATTAATTTTTACGTTATTTTGAACTGAACTTATTAATTTGTTGAATTTGGAATAAATTTGTTGTTAAAAGCTTAGTAAATTAACTTAAATAGATCCTCATAGAGTTGAGAGTAAATTTGGAAAATTATCCAAATCAAATCTAGTTTAAGGACACTACAGTATTTTCAAGCAGTATCCCTAGATGAGGGTGTATCTAGTATTGGGTGGGAGGGAGGTTATATAAGGGGTACGAGGGATATATATCCTTATAATGAGGGGTATCTTACAAAGAGGGTGTACCTTATAATGAGGTTTTTTTAATTTTGTTGACCAATGGATAAAGTTTCCATTGTAATAGGTTTCCATTGTCTTACCCTCTATTTAGGACACAACTCCTTACAAGGCACCTACTCCCTATTTAAGGTACACCTCAATATAAGAGACACCTCATTATAAGGTACACCTTCTATTTAATATACACCAGGGATGTCACGGGTTACCCGAAACCCGGCCTTTTTCTCAACCCGTGACATCTCTGATATACACCTAGTTATAGGACATGGTCATACCATCTATTTAATACACACCCCATTATAAGGTACGAGTTTTTTCACGCCCAAAGGGGGTATCATCTCATAGCAATATCCTCCCATATTTTCATTTAGTATTCGGGAATAAATTTATTTTCTGTTCTTGTTGCTCACAAATTATTTTTACTTGTTCTTCCAAAAATCGTAAAAAACAATTTACCCCAACTTGGATAGCAGGGTTGCCTAAATATTTTAAAATAATTATTTAAATTTTCTTTTAAACTACCGAATCCATGGGTTAACATTGAAAAGGTTGAGAGAGGCGCTTGTAATTCCTCGTCAAGAAGTGGTTCCATATTCTGAAAATTAAAAGTTTGGGGTTTTAATTTGAAGACAATTTTTGTTTTAGTGGATATTTTTGCGGACAAAAATTTGTCCGCTAATTTTATGCGGACGTCCGCAAAAATTTTGCGGACAAAAAATTTTAGGGTTTTTGGAAATTTTCTTTTGAGAAAATTTAAAAGTCTAAGTTTGCGGACAACTTTTGCGGACAAAATATTGTCCAAAAATATTTTGCGGACGTCCGCAAATTTTTTGCGGACAACTTTTGCGGACAAAATTATTTCAAAAAATTTTCCTTTACGGAAATCTGAAATTCAAACTGCAAATATGCGGACAGTTTTTGCGGACAAAATTTTGCCCAAAAATATTTTGCGGACGTCCGCAAAAATTTTTGCGGACAACTTTTGCGGACAAAATTTTTTCAAAAAATCTCCTTTTCGGAAATCTTAAATTTAAATCTTAAATTTTCGGACAGTTTTTGCGGACAAAATTTTAGTCCGCAAAAATATTTGCGGATAATTTTTGCGGACAAAATTTTTAAAAAAAATTTTTTAAAATTACATTTTCCATCATTGGACTTGTATCTCTTCCCATCAACTCCAAAAATTGTTTAGTTAATTTAATCGCAGCTTGCAACTTTTGTAGACGAATTAAATTGTCATTATCACAAGTACCAGGAAGGATTGATGGAGTTGATTGTTTGAATGAATCAAGTGCTTCTATAGCCATTAGCCGTGTAGGGAATTCGGATTCTGTAATCTTAAAAAGGCTTCTAAATATAACAGGGATGTGTTGGGTTACACGAAACCCGAAACCCGATCCTTTTCAACCCGAAACCCGGTCCTTTTCAACCCGAAACCCGACTATGTATACATATAAGCAGTCGACTTAAGGTAGCATAAAAGCTAGGCCGGATAACCCTGCCCCTTATCGTCTGCTCGAAACAGCAACAGGGGAGGTGGTCTCAAGGAATCAACAGGGGGGGGTCTCAAGGTCCCCCCTCAACTCCACCTTCGTCTACATTGTGTAGATGGACCCTGACCCTTCCGGATCAAAATGTTCGGATCGGGATTTATCAGGGTTGCAAATAATGAGGTCAGGTTTTGGCCAAAAGGTTGGGGTTTTGGGAGCAAACTACGTAAAACACACAAACACACACCTTTTTAAAATCATTAGCAAGTTGTAAACTTTCAGCCTCAGTTAAAGCAGACAACAAAGTAACTTGAGAGAGACGTCGTCTTCCACGTGGGATAGAAAGCCCGACTTGATTTAATTCTTCTATAAGCATTTGACTTTTCTCTGGCATTTTTGCACGTCTCAATAATGCTCCTAACAAGCTAGAAAATTTAATTTTAAATTTAGATGATTTGAAGCTTAGCTCTGAGTATAAAAATAGTGGAAAAATTGGAGAGATTTTCGTTTTTAGCCTAGGTACCATTTTGTCTTTGTACCATTTTGTCAGTCTTTAGCCTAGGTACCATTTTGTCGTTTTCTAGCCTTGGTATCATTTTGTCAATTTTTAGCCTTGGTACCATTTTGTCGTTTTCTAGCCTTTGTACCATTTTGTTGTTTTTACCCTGTGTACCATTGTGTCGTCCTTTAGCCCAGGTACCATTTTGTCGTTTTTTAGACTTGGTACTATTTTGTCGCCTTCTAGCCTGAGTACCATTATGTCGCCTCCTCCTAAGTACTATTATGTCGTTATTAAGCCTTTGTACCGTTTTGTCGTTTTTACACCGAGTACCATTTTGTCGCTCCTTACCCCTTGACCATTTTGCCTGGCCGCAAAATCTCTCCCTTTTTATCTCTCCTATTTTCCCACACTATTTCTAGTTAAACCTACCTAAAATTAAAAGATTCAGGTCCCATTAATCGCCTCTTCACTTCTCCAACAGTCATTTTATATTTCACAACGTTTGAAAGTAAGGAAAGTCTGCCTGGAACTTGGGCGAAAATTCTGAAAATATTTTTAGTTTTTCTGTTATTCTTAAAGTACAAGTTGGACCTCACTTTAAAATACAGCCAATATAAGACATCTAAAATTTAGTGGGCCATTGGGTGGGGAGCTGCTTAATCCCATTTGAAACCCCTTGGTACCGTCTTGTCACGTGCCATTTTGTCGTTTTTACCCTCTGTACCTTTTTGACGTATTTTACCCTGGGTACCTTTTTGTCGTTTTCTACCCTGGGTACCTTTTTGTCGTTTTATACTCTGGGTACCTTTTTGTCGATTTTTAGCCTGGGTACCTTTTTGTCATTTTTTACCATGAGTACCATTTTGTCGTTTTCTACCCTGGGTACCTTTTTGTCGTTTTATACTCTTTATACCATTTTGTCGTTTTTTACCCTTGGTACCATTTTGGCGTTTTTCTAAAGGTACCATTTTGTCGTTTTTTACCCTGGGTAACATTTTGTCGTTTTTTAGCCTTGGTAACTTTTTGTCGGTTTTTTACCCTTCGTACCATTCTGTCGTTCTTACGCCTAGGTACCATTTTTGTCATTTTCTCAAGGTACCGTTTTGTCATTCCTTAGCCCTGGTACTATTTTGTCGTTTTTACTCATGGGCCTATTTTGTCTGATAGATAGTGAGGTCCAACAGTAACCAAACCGAAATTCAAATTAAGTTTCTAACCGATCACAAGGGACAGATTTAGCCAAAGCATTATCGCCAATCTCCATACTAGAAGTAGGCGAAAATTCCAAACAATTTTTGAGGGGAGAAGACAATAAAGGCGTCGTCATATTATTAATTTTGCTATTTTTCGGTTGTTTCTGTGAATTAATTGACGGTGTAATGGACCCCGAAATGCCCTCAAACAACGCCCAGTTAAAAGAGGGACATCCCCCGGAACTACAACTGGCAGTTTCGACGTCTTCCCCTCCATTTGCGTTGTAAAACATGACGTTATCTTCACATATTTGGTTAAAATCGTTCTCGTTATTTTTGTTCTGGTCGAGTTTTGTCTCGCAAAATTTATTAAATATGTGTTGGAGGTCGTTGGAATTGTCTAAATTTGGAAAAAAATATTTTTTTTGTCAAAAATAAGGACAATATCCGTCGAGAGGTATCGAACCCAGGTCTCCCCGAAAGGTGCAGTCTAGGTTGTTAACCCACTACACTACGGCAGATTGAAAATTTGGTACTACTAGATGTGAAAGAATGGTAAAGAGAGGAGTACCAACAGACATTTGCGTCAGCCACTAGAAAGCGACATTTGTGAACGCCTTCTAAGAGACGACATTTGCGAACACCCAATATGAAACGACATTTGCGTCAGCCACTAGAGAGCGACATTTGGGGACATTACTAGGAGAGCGACATTTGCGAACACAAATTGGGCGACATTTGCAACACCCACTGAAAGAGCGACATTTGTGAGCACTAATAAAAGGCAACATTTACGGACCTGGATTTTAGTTTTGTTCGCAAATGTCTGTTCACATCTTTGGGCTTTAAAGAGTAAAAAAATAAATTCCCTACCATTTTCGACAATTTGAACTTGTTTCGGAATTGTTGCCAACCTAGCTCTTTTTTTCTCTAGCAATTCTTGAATGGCTAGAGGCCTCTAAAAATTTTAAAAATTTTTTGAAAATTTTTGAAATTTTTGAAAAATTTTTTGAAATTTTTTTTAAAAATTTTGAAATTTTCCAAAAAAATTTTTCTGAAAATTTTTTTTTAATTTTTTTGAAAATTTTTTTTGAAATTTTTTTGAAAATTTTTTTGAAATTTTTTAAAAATTTTTTTGAAATTTTTTTAAAAAATTTTTTTTGAAAAATTTTTGGAAAATTTTTTTCACCTTCCTTTCAACATATTCAGCCTCTTTAGGCAATAACGGACTTAATTGTTGTTCTAACGGTTGTGGGCTACTTGTAGATGAGTTGGGGTCTTCCAAGTTGATGTGAATTGAGCTGTTGGTGGTTGCTGTCATTTAAGGCGGATGAAGGAAAAATAAGGCAAATAAAGGAAAAGGCACTTTTGAAGTCTTAAAATCTGAAAATTAGAAAACAGTCAAAACTCGCTATAAGATATCCCCTGGGGCTAAAAAATCGTACATATAAGGAGGGGAACCTAGTAGGGTTGGTCCCCGACGGGGGAGGGGGGGAGCCACGGGGAAAGGTTTTCGGGGAGGCAGCGCCACGGGGGGACGGAGACGGAGACAAGGAATTTTCAAAAGATCTCTCAAATTCCCCGATTTTCGGGGACGGGGACCAACCCTAGTATCTAGTGAGGGTCATACCCACTGGTTAGAGAGAGATGCCCCCAATTTACGGGGCATTTTATGTCCGTTAGATGCTAGATGTTAGATGCCCCCCTACCGGTTACTGGGAGTCGACTAAGAGATACCTCCAATTTAGGATACACCCTCGTTATAAACACCCCACTATAGGATACGATTTTTAAATCCCAGAGGATAAGAAACGATATTTGCGAACATTACACAGAAAACGACATTTGCGAACATTACAAAGAAAGCGACATTTGCGGACACCCCTTCAGTTTTGTTCGCAACCTCTCGTTATAAACTCTTATATCAACTCCTATAACAGATTAATTAGAGAGGGTCGAGACACGCAATCTAAGATACTTCCCGTTTATGAACACCCTCATTATAAGGTCGATCCCAAGGGGGTATTTTATAATGAGGTTCGCCTGTAATAAAATAAAAAAATTAAAATTTTGGGATATTAGAAGAGCAAATTTTAAAAGAAAAAATGAGAAATAGCGGCGTATTTGTCAATATGGCCCCAGTTTTGTGAAACGCTGCTGACAGTACTTCTGTATAGACGGCTGGGCCATCATCAACAACAGCCCGCCGGCAGCCAAACATTCACTTTCCTTTTTTCCCTATTTACACAATCAGTGGCTGGGAGGAACAAGAGAAGAAGAAGAGATGTGGATAGTAAAGAAGAAGAGGTGAGGGGGGATGAATGTTTGCGAAGAGGCGAGGAATGAATTTCGCCGATGGCGCTGTGGGTTGACGGTAAAGGACGATTCAGTCTTGAGGGTATAATTTGGGCCATAACTTTTTTGGTTCTGAACCGATTTAAATAAGTTTTATACCAATCGAAGGCTCTTGATTTGAGGATTATTTTAGCTAGCAGGATTGAGTTGATCAGATCATTCTACAAAAAGTTACATTTGGGTAAGTGCGTGAGATCGTGATTTCTGGTCCTTATTTGGCTGTAACTTTTAGGCCATAACTTTTTTGATCCTGAACCGATTTAAATAAGCTTTATATTATTCGAAAGCTCTTGATTTGAGGAACATTTTAGCTAACAGGAATGATTTGATCAGAACATACTATCAAAAGTTATAGCCGAAAAACGATCAAAAATCACGATTGCGCGCACTTACCCAAGTGTAACTTTTGGTAGGATGATCTGATCAACAAGATTCTGTTAGCTAAAATAATTCTCACATTTAGAGCTTTCAATTGATCCTCAAATCATTTAAATTAGTCAAGTATCAAAAAAGTTATAGCCTAAAATATGACCTCAAGACTGAAGCAGCTATACTCAAACGTCCCCTACCTTGTGGGTTAATGCGTGCGCCCTTCCAATTTGCTCAACTATTCATTCCCTTTCTTCTAATCATATTTTCCCTTTGGCTGTGGGTTGGTGATGCGCTCGGGAAGAGAAAGAAACACAACAAACAAAAAACTGCCAGCCGGTCGTTGCTGCCAGCCAGGTCCCTCAACCTGCCTTTTTTTGTGCTTGTTTGCCTGACTGTCAACATTACAAGTGATAGGTGGAGGGAAAGCAAGGATTGCCCGCCGGGGGTGTACAAAATTGAAATAAAAATTTTAGTCGATTTGACTGTTTGAGCGGAGAATTTGGTAAACAATGTCTAGAGGGGGAAGTGCAAGTCCTATGGGAAAAGGATATATCGCGCTAAGGCATTGATAGAGTTAATGCCCTTTTAGTTGGGCTAATTGTGAAATTTTGTAACTCAGCGAGGTGAAAAACCTTTCTTAGGGGGAAATCAAGAAAATTTTATAAACCCCAAAACAACTCAAACGGACGGGTTAACTGGGCGCAGCCAGCTTGGCGCCAGCTTTCTTTTGTCAACTATAACTTTTTCTGATTTCATCCAATCTGAACAAATCTTGTAGCATTTGAAAGCCCTTTATGAGCTCTATCTTTTTTCCTGTTGGATGGATCAAGTCTGATCACTCACTATAAAGCTAGAGGGCGATAAACGTCAAAAACACCAAATAATTGCACTTATCGAGTCATAACTTTTTAAGGAGTGATCAGACTTGATCTGTCCAATTACAAAAAAGATAGCGCTTTTCAAGGGCTTTCGAATGATATAAGATTCACTCAGATGGGATCAGGCACAAAAAAGTTATAGCCGACCAAAATTTGCTGGGCGCTCAATTGGCCGCGCCCAACTGACCCCACCCCTTTTACAAAACAGCCTTTCCTACAATAAATAAAATATTCAAATTACTGCCCTAAGGGTAAATTAAAAGTGCAAAAAAAGTTGCACTTAAGGGGCGTTATTTGCGGATTTTTGAAATTTCGCCTCAGGCATTTTTTAGGACAAAGCTAGCCCTGTAAGGGAAACAGTCATTTTAGTGCAATTTACTGTCCGCTTTCCCAAAAAGAAGAAAAATGTGGGGGGAGAGAACGAAAGGATAATTTAACCTGTCCAATCGATTCGCCCTAAAGGCCTGTGGCTGTTGTATTTTTAGTCAAAAAAGGGGGAAAAGTGTGTGTGTGAGCAGCAAAGGCCGGTCAGTCACCGTAGGGCCAAAGCCTACAGGCTATGCTTCCCCTATTTTTGTGTTGGTCTTCGCGTCTCTCTGTTCTCTCTTATGGCCTTTCCGATGACTAAAAAAGGAAGGAAATGTGGTCAACTTAAAGTTGAAAGAGAGGGAAAGGAATAAATTTTTCTAACATATTCCGACTGTCACGGAATCTCACCTCAACAGGGACAGCCCAAGTAGGCGCGCGGCCAAGAAGGCGCAAAGCTATAACTTGCTTCAAGATTTCCGAATTCTACCAAATTTAGTATTAAACGATTCCTCTCATTGAGCTAAAGAGTTTGGTACCAAAATTGGTACGGGCCAGAAATTTTCCAGCTAGTTATGGCTTTGCGCCGCTATGGCCGCGCGCCTACTTGGGCGTGTCCCACCTCAACAGTGCCCCTGCCTCTCCCCTTCGACAGCCCCCACCCCCCCCCCCCCCCCCCGATTTCCTCAACATGGAATTCCTTTAAATATTATTTTGGAAAGGATGAACTGGAACTGAGTTGAAAACAAAAAGATTTTTAAATAGCCTAAACATTTGCGGAGACCGACATGTGCGGGGCAAAACCGAAGACCATCGAAATTGGACTAACTGGATACTGGCCCAAAATTGGCACAAACGGATATGGGTCATATCAGCTATCGTGACATAAGTATGTTGTACTATCCCGGTGTTTTACTGTTTAAAACTATCCCGGTGTTAATAGGTTTTAGTGAGAGGTCTTTGTTCGTAAACGTCGTTGTATGCAAACGTCGTATTTGGGGGGTGTACGCAAATGTCGTTTTTCCAACGGTGTACGCAAATGTCGTTCTACTTGATAAAATAGTACAAATGATAAAGACATCTTTTCATGCAAAATAATTTTTAAAGTCCTAATTTATTATTTTTTGTCAAAAAAACAAATACATAAATTTAATATAAACAAGCTTTTCTCTAAACTAGATTTATCTATCAATTTCTCCAAAAACAACATCCAACGTTCCAATTATAGCTACCAAATCAGGAATTAAATGCATATAACTAATATCATGAATTTTTGCCAAATGTGCAAATCCTGGAGCACGAATAAAGCATCTAAATGATTTTGGAAAAAATTAAGAAATAAAATTGTTTTTGTAGTTAAGTGGGTTAGGGGCAGTTGACACTGGGGTGCCAGCAAAGTTTGAACGGCTATAACTTTTGTATGCTTGATCCAATCTAAGTGAATCTTATACCATTCGAAAGCCCATGAAAAGCGCCATCTTTTTTCTAATTGGATGGATCCAGTCTGATCACTTACCAAAAAGTTAGAAGACAATAAACGTGAAAAATACAAAATAATTGCACTTAACAGGTCATAAATTTTCAATAAGTGATCAGACTTGATTCATCCAATGGGTAAAAATATAGCCCTTTTCAAGGGCTTTCGAATGATATAAGATTTGTTCAGATTGGATCAGGCAAAAAAAAGTTATAGCCGATCAAAGCTGGCCAGTTCCGGTGGTTCAAAATAGGCTCGTTCCGGTGGTGTAGTGGTTAACACATTAAACTGCGCTTAATGGGAGATGGAGGTTCGGTTCCACACCACTACAAAAATTTTTTTTTGATTAAGAAAAATTTTCAAAAAAATTTTTTTTTGAAAATTTCTTCTCACCCCCTTTCCTTAAAAAATTTTTTTCCTATGGTGTAGTGGTTAACACACTAAACACCGCTTAATGGGAGATGGAGGTTCGATGCCACATCACCACAAAAATTTTTTTAATTAAAAAAAATTTTCAAAAAAAAATTTTTTTGAAAATTTTTCACCACCCCCTTCCCTTAAAAAATAATTTTTCAAAAATTTGAAAACCTATAAGGTTTGCTCGTTCCATCAGCCACTAAATAAACACCAAATTCCCCTTTAGGCGCCTCTGTAGGAACATAAACATGACCAGGCGGAACTTGAAATCCTTCAGTAAAGAATTTGAAATGGTGAATTAATGCTTCCATACTTTCCTTTAAATTAATTTAAAATTTTATTAAAAAATAAATTTTTGCGGACAAAAAATTTTTGCGGACACTTCTTGCTGACAACAAATTTTTTTGCGGATTTTTCTTGCGGACAAAAATTTTTTGCGGACAAATATTTTTTTAATTTTTTATGTCCGAAAATATGTCCGTATTACGAAGAAGACTCATTTTTCTCCTGAAATTTTTCTTGCGGACAAAATTTTTTTTATTTTATCCGCAAAAAAAAGTCCGCAAAAAATATTTTTCAACATAAAGTTTCTTCCTAAATTGGTGTGTCTATTATTTAAAAAATATTTTTAAGGCGTCCTAATGAAACAGAGTCGTGTTTTTGCGGACAAAAAATATTTTTGCGGACGAAAATTTTTTTGCGGACAATAAACATTTTTGCGGACAAAAAAATATTTTTGCGGACAAAAATATTTTTGCGGACAAGAAAATATTTTTGCGGACAAAAAAAATATTTTGTGGACAAAAATATTTTTGCGGACAAAAATTTTTTTGCGGACAAAAAATATTTTTGCGGACAAAAAAAATTTTTTGCGGACAAAAAAAATCTGAAATAAATCCGCCTCTTCTAAACTTGTGCTTATTTTTTAAAATTAAAAAATTTAATAAACCTTCATTTCTGCTCGATTCGGAGGCATAATCTTTTGATCATCCACCTTAACTTCCCCTCTAGGCATTTTATTTAAACATTGAAGAATAATTCGAAGACTTTCACGCATTTCCATTAAACGACACAAATATCTGTGACAAAAGAAATATTTTTAAAAGTCGTGTATTTTAATAAACGGGAAAATTTTTAATGGTCGTTTAAACTCGAAAAAAAAATTTAAAGAAAACTTGCGGACAAATTTTGCGGACATTTTTTTAATTTAAGAAAAATCTGCAAAACTTTGATCCTAATTAGGGTTGCCGGCCAGGTTCGTGTCGAAAGATCGAATCGGACATCAAATTTAGGCTTGAAAAAGACGACCGAGTCGATAAAAACGAGGCCCGCAAAATGCTTAGAACGTTGACCCGGTTCGAAAACGGCAACACTAATCATGAACCAAAAATATCCTGCCCCATAATAGGGTTCCACTGGTCGCCAAAAATTCGATCCGACTCTTTTCTCAATCCTTACATTTTATTGTTAGCCCAGTAATGACAAAAGTTTAAAATTCGAAAAAATTTATAAAACTTGCGGACAATTCTTGCGGACATTTTATTAATTTGAAAAAAGTCCGCAAAAATTGTCCGCAACTTTTTTAAATATAAAAATTTTTTTATGAATTTCACAATTTTGTTGAAAGATCTCCGCAAATAATAAAAAAGTCCGCAAAATTTAAAAAATCCGCAAAAACTTTATAAAACGTGTGGCCTTTAGAGATCGAGCTGGATCTGGACCATGGCGTGGGGTTTTCCTAGACTACAGGCCCAGGCTTTTCAAAAATCTCGATCTCTATTAGCTTTTTAAACTGATTAAATCAGATCTTTCCGTGTCCGGACAAAATATCGAATCGTTAAAATATGGAATAGGCTAAAAAAGGGTTAAAATCTCGAATCGGGTAAAAATGGGTTAAAATCGCGAATAGGCTAAAAAGGGGTTAAAATACCGAATCGTTAAAATATGGAATGGTTAAAATATCGAAACGGGTAAAAAAGGATTAAAATATCGAATCGTCAAAATATCGAAATGATAAAATGTCGACACGGCCAAAATAGGTCAAAATGTCGAATTATTTTAAAAATTGTGCTACAAACTAGAACCTGGACGGTACCGTAATACCGACGGTATTTTTCGGTATTTATCCGTATTCCGTATCGGTAGTACGGGCGGAATACTGACCGATAAAATTTAAAAGGTGAACCGTATTTTTCGGTATTCCGTACCGTGGTACGGTACTCTAATTTTTCCGGATCAAGAAATCGCGTTGTCTTCCGGATCCGCACGATCATGCCGGACCGGATCCGGTCGATTTTCTTGATTTATCCGGTCCGGTTTTACTCGGTAAAATACACTGAACTCAGGTATTCCGTACCGTTTTTTTCGGTATTTTAACCCCAACTTATCAGCAGTAAGTTTATAAGTTGATAAAATTATCAACAATCAACGTATGACCCTCATCTGACCCTTTTTTAAAGGAATTCGACATTTTGACCCATTTTGGCCGTGTCGACATTTTATCAATTCGATATTTTGACGATTCGATATTTTAACCATTCCATATTTTAACGATTCGGTATTTTAACCCCTTTTTAGCCTATTCGCGATTTTAACTATTCCATATTTTAACGATTCGGTATTTTGTACCGGAGCCGATCTTTCGATAAAAAAAATCTTCAAAAATTTTTTTATTTAAAAAAAGTTGCGGACAGTTTTTGCGGATTTTTCTTTAATTTAAAAAAAAAAAGTCCGCAAAATTTGTCTCAAATTCTAAAAATTTTTTTAAGGTTTAAACGACGATTATCGAAGGAATGGGCTCGATCCATAAAAGAAAATTGGCTCTCGTTCATTTAAGCGTCCAATCGCACTTTTATACGTCTAATCAAACTTTATACGTCCAATCGCACTTTTATACGTCTAATCAAACTTTATACGTCCAATAAAAAGTTTATGCGTCCAATCGCATTTATAAATACCCGGTTCTTTGTGTTAAAAACTATGTAATACCGTGTGTATCAAAACTGGGTCAGTAAGGCTTCCTATTCTCATAGATTTTATGGTACTAAATTGAAGAAGCGGGTACATAAAATATGTGATTGGACGCATAAACTTTCTATTGGACGCATAAAAATGTTTGGAAGTATAAACTTTTCATTAAACTTATAAAGGTTGTTGGACGTATAAAGATGCGATTGGACGCATAAACTGGACAAGAGCCAGAAAATTAATTTTAAAAAATCCAAACCTATCATAACAATCACCCTGCGTACCAACAGGAACATCAAATTCAACTTGAGAATAAGCATCATAAGGCTGCGTCTTTCTAAGATCCCATTTTATACCAGAACCTCTCAACATAACACCAGAAAAGCCCCAATTCAGAGCGTCAGAAGCTTTAACAATCTGCAAAAAATTATTTTAAAAATGCGGACAATTTTTGCGGATTTTTATTAAATTAATAAAAATACGCCAGATTTGTCCGCAAAATTATTGCGGATTAAATGCAGATTCTTCTTAAATTTAAAAAAAATCCGCAAAGTTTGTCCGCAAAATTATTTAAAAATGCTGACAATTTTTGCGGATTTGTATTAAAATTTAAAAAATCCGCAAAATTCTTGTGGATTTGTTTAAATGTAATAAAAATCAGCTGAAAATTGCAGATATTTCCTATTGTTTAGATTCAATTTTAAAATCCGCAAAATTCTTGCGGACTTCTATTAAATTAAAAAAACTGCAAAAATTGTCAGAAAAAAATTTTGCGGATTTGTTTAAATTTAATAAAACCGCAAAACTTGTCTGCAAAATTATTGCGGATTTTTTTAATTTATAAAAATACGTTAAAAATTGCGGACATTTCCTATTGATTAGTATTGAATTTTAAAATCCGCAAAATTCTTGCGGACTTTTTCAAATATAATAGAAGATACGAAAGACAAGTAAATTATTGCGGATTTTTATTAAATTAGAAAAACTGTAGTCAAAAAAATTTGCGGATTTTTTCTCAAATTTAATAGAAATCCGCAAAACTAGTCTGCAAATTCTTGCGGATTTTTCGGATTAAAAAGGTCAGCAGGAAAAATCCGCAAAATTTTTTTGCGGACATTTTTCAAATTTAATAAAAATCCGCAAAACATTGTCCGCAAAATATTTGCGGATTTTCCCAAAATTTGTCAAAAAAACTAACCCCAATATCCTTTGTTCTCTTCTTCCATATTCTATTCTCTGTCAAAACATCTTCAAGTTCATCAATCCGCGAAGGGAATTTTACACACCAATCATAAATATCATCCAAAAGTCCAAGAGGAATATCCCAGGCAACTCCTAAAAATTATAAAAAAATTTCTATTTTTAAAAATCCGCAAAAATTGTCCGCAAAATTTTTTCGATTTAAAATATTCCTGCTTACCAGGCCCGTAGCCAGGATTTTTTTCAGGGGGGAAAAATCCTGGCTACGGGCCCCCTGGCTACGGACCTGCTCCTTACATGGAGCGATTTTTCCCACAAAGAGAAGGGCGTATCCAGAGGGACAGTTTTGGGTGAGGAGGAGGGGGCTAACATTGGGTGTGCGCCAAAATTTCAGCGTCTACTTTGGTGATCCGAACAATTTTTTGTACCCGAATTTTGATTTTTTTAGCGCCGCAAGCAAAAATTTTTTAAAATTTGGAAGGCTAAAAGCCATATTTCTTTCACTTTTTCGACCATACTTCGATTTCGGAGGGGGGGGGGGGGGCTCTAGCAACCTAGACCCTCTGGATACGCCCGTGGTATCCCTTTAGCCCCCAGACCCCCTGGATATGCCTAGACCCCCTGGATACGCCCGTGTTATCCCTCTAGCCCTCAGACCCCCTGGATATGCTCATGCCCCCTAGATACGCCCGTGGTACCTCTCTACTCCCCTGTTAATTTAAACAAAAAATTTATTCAAAAAAAAACCTCCAGGCCGAATATAATTTGCATGCATTCTTGCCCCACTTGCACGCTCACTAAATTCAAATAATTTTTCACGTTCCTCAAACATCCAAAAGAAGGGGGTCATTGCACCAACATCCAAAGCGTGTGTAGTAATTCCCATAATGTGATTTTGAATTCGAGTTAGTTCAGCAAATAGGGCTAAAAATTGATAAAAATAAAATTGGATGCAAAAAAGGTTCTTTTTTAAGGTTTAAAAAAGTCCGCAAATTTTGTCCGCAAGTTTTGTCCGCAAATCTTAAAAATTGTTTTTATCAAAAAATGATTGTCACAATGAGGTGTATATTAATTATGGGATATTTTTAGGAAATATTTATCCATCCAATAGTCAACTAAATTAAAAAAACCTCACTATAAGGTCCTTTGTTTCAATCAGGGTGTCCCTTTACAAACCACCAAAAGAGGGTATGGCTTCCCAAAAATGGAGCGAAATCGGCCAAAAAGGGGCAAATGCCTCCCAAACGAGGTAAAAGGATCACCCTGGTTTCAAGCCATTAGGGTATCTTTATAGTCAAGTCAGTAATGGCCTTATAAATGTTAAATTGGATACAATATTGGGTAGACTTAAATTAAGATACGCCGTCTAAAATTTGGTTAGTCGCTGGATAGGAAGGACCCCCTATTTAAATGATTTTGCGGACTTTTTTAGACCTCAAAACCCCCCCAAAAAAACTCAAATAAAATATACTTCTAATCCATTTAGCTCTCGGCGGAATATCAATTCCCAACAATTTTTCGACAGCTAAAGACCAGGCCTTTAAAAACGTTAAAAAATTATTAGTACAAAATGGTAGATGTCGTAATACCAAACCCAAAAAACCCGCCGAACTGTTAAACAAAGGAAATGAGACTTTCATTAAACTTGCGGACTTTTCGAGAAATTTGCGGACTTTTGAGAAACTTGCGGACTTTTTAAGAAACTTGCGGACTTTTGAGAAACTTGCGGACTTCAAGAACATTGGCGGACTATAAAAAAGTTTGCGGACTTTCAAAAAACTTTGCGGACTTTTAAGAAAATTTGCGGACTTTTTAAGAAACTTGAGGACTTCTAAAAACATAATAGTCGGAACAACTTCAAGGTAATTGGAACATAGCTTAGCTTATGTATTGTCCCAGTTTGGTATTACGGCGCTACCTTTTCTAAATTAAAAATAAAAACCTGTTCATTACACATCATGCTAACATAATCCAATCTATCAAAATAAGGCAAAGCTTGTGTGTATGTTTTATATTCAATCAATTTTTCTGTTGCACGATGCAAAAGTCCAATGTGTGGAACTGCTTTGATAACTACCTAAAAATAAAAAAAATTTGCGGACAAAACTTGCGAACTTTTAGAAAATTTGCGGACTTTTGCGAAATTTTAGATTATTCGGATTATTTGGCCAATTCCCTAAAAACATTGGGTTTCAGTTGGATTAACCAACCGCAAAAACCCATAATTTTCAGCTAAACTCCGAGATTTTGAAATGCCCGGGAAAAACGCCAAATAATAAAAATTTAGCCGAAAGTACCCATTGTTATCCCACCCAATTTTAAAAATAGTATCGGACCCCAACCCCATTTTTGGCTAAAATCACAACCAGAAACTCTTCAACTCGTAATCCTTGATAAATAGTACCTAACCTACCAACGATAATTGGGCTATAGACCCTTGTCTGTTCCTCGAAAAATTGTTCTAGTATGGGTGAACGGGAGGGGTTCTTCCACGGGTTGGGAAAGGAGAGAAAGGGAAGGTGGGTCCGTTGGGGGAAAACTCGGAGTGGGATCAGTCCAAAAGCTGTATAGACGGGTAACGAGCGGAAGGGGTTCCTCCACATGGTTGGGGAAGGGAAAGTGGATCCATACAGGTTGGGGAACTGGGAGGATCAGCCCGAGAGCTGTATAGACGGGTAAGACGGGTAACAAGCGGAAGGGGTTCGTCCACGGGTTGGGAACTGGAGGGTGGGTACCCACGGGTTGGGGGAACTGTACATGGGATCAGTCCAAAAGTCGTAGAGACGGGTAACGAGAGGAAGGGGTTCCTCCACATGTTGGGATGAAAGAGGCGGGTACCTACGGGTTGCGGAACTAGACGGGGGATCAGTCCAAAAGTCGTAGCCCACCCAAAGCTTTACCCACAAAAAAACCACAAACCTCTCCTTCCAATTTCAAAATAAGTCGAAGAACGCCGTGAGCTGCCGGATGGTTTGGGCCAAAATTTAAAATCATATTGTCAATCTTCTTCTCTCTGGGATAGCCAAAATTTCCATCAACTTTTGAAAAAAATTTTTTTTTTAATTTAAAAAATTCAAAAAAAATACATGTGGAGGTATTCATTCTATCGATTGCTTCCAACACTTCTTTAGGATTGGCTAAATCGTCTGGATCCATACGTTCAACGGAACCGGCTTCACGCTGAAAAAAAAAGATTTTTTGGGGGAATTTTGAAAAATGGAGGTGGCACAGTCAAATCTCGTAGAGAACCTTACCTTGAGTTGAAATCAATCCAGAAGGTAAAGACCCAAAGTCAAGACCAAAAGAGTCAACGACCCCACCAAGTCAAGACAATGACCGGGGATGACCCCAATGAAGTCCATAACTTCAATGACCAAGAAGGTAAAGACCCAAACCCACGTGCTCAGATGACACAGAAGGTCATAGTCAGATAGTCAAACCTCGTAAAGAATCTTTGCCTTGACTTGCGATCAACCCACAAGTTCAAGACCCAGAAGGGCCTTCTGGGTAGTCTGACACGTTCTGACCTACCGGGGGAACCCCTGATTTTAGTTAAAGACCTTGAACAGATCTAAGACTTAAGGAAAAGTCAAGGACAAATCGAGGGACGGAGGACGGTTCAAGATCAGGGACGGCCAAGGGTACTCGATCCCCGGACTTTTTTCAACCCGAAACACGATCCGAACAATAAGAGAATTTTGAAGACCCAATTTTGAAGACCGACCACCGAATTTTGAAGACCCACCCGACCACTTTTTGAAGACCCACCGACACAATCGGTGAGATTTCCAATCCAGGCAGATCTCTAGAATCAACCTTTGGGGGTACGTAAAGGAATGGCTTTGGTTAAGAAAAAAAAAAGTAAGGGCGGTTTCGAATCATTTCGGGCCTTGTCCCAAAGTAGAGGCCAACCAAATTAAGGGGGTAACACAGTCAGACCTAAAAGTGAGGTTCGACTGTATTAACAAATTAAAAAATTATACAAAAAGACTTTGATGTGCTGCTCTTGGAGTAGAACCAATTGCCTGAAAATGATTAAATTATAAAAAAATTCAAAAAAATTTTTGCGGACAAATTTTGCGGACTTTGTTAATTCAGGAATCATTTCTGCTCTAATAGGGTTTTCTAAGGTGGAAAAATTTGCCGAGTCCAAAAATTAACTAAAAATGCTCAAAATGGTCTGGTTTTGCCTTTTAAAGTAAATTAAAAAATAATTTACCCCAAGCGGGTTCGAACTCACGACCCCCTCCACATGACCGTCGATATTATATAAACGATGAATTTCAGGTGAAATAAAATGCAAGGAGTCAGAAATAAGTAAAAGTGCTCAAAATGGTCAACTTATACCTTCTAAAGTTCTTAAAAAATAATTGACCCTGAGGGGGTTCGAACCCACGACCTCACTCCCCATGAACTCAGACATAACTAAAACGATGACTTTCTGGATTTGAAAAATTTTCCAAGTCCAAAATATAAATATAAGTGCTCGAAATGGCCAATCTCATCATTTTAAGCAACTCAAAAAATAATTTACCCCAAGCGGGTTCGAACCCACGACCCCCTATGACCCCAAATATAGCCAAAAACCAATTAACTACAAAACCTTGAACATTCTCGTAAATTTAGCATCCGGAAACCAAATGTGAAGATGCCTTGAACTTTTTAAAGAAATCAACTGAGCATTGTTTTCCAGCAAAATCTTATTTTCACGAAGAGAAATTAACCTTCTAGCTGCTTGCATTTCTAAAATAATTTATTTTAAAAATTTAGAAAAATCTGAAAATTAAGCCAGTCAACGTTGCGCACTCAAAAAGGCTTTCTTGCCTTCTTCCTTGGCCCTTTCAGTGCTATTATTAGAGGAAGGTCGATTAAACACTGTAGAATGACATTTGGTCATTATTTAGGCTGAACGACAATTGGACATTACGACAATTGGTCGTTACGACATTTAGACAAAGCGACATTTAGACAATACGACAAAAAACATATCGGACTTTATTGTCGGGATTACAGTCCCGAATCAACGCAGTACTACCGTATACCTTAAAATAGAATCTCCGTTGACTTCTGACCTCACTATAAGATATCTCCGATACTAGATACACTTCTATTTAAGATACGTCTTTAAAATTGAGGATGCTACGGGGACAGTAGATGCCCCTTTTTAAAACACACCTCATTATAGAGTACCCTCTATTTAAGATACAATGTTAATTTACCCTCTATTTAAGGTACACCTCATTATAAGATACGATTTTGATTTACCTTCTATTTAAGGTACACCTCATTATAAGGTACGACTCATTATAGGGTATCCCTCTATTTAAGATACGATTTTAAATTTATCCTCTATTTAAGGTACATCTCATTATAAGGCACGATTTCATTATACCTCTATTTAAGGTACACCTCTATTAAATATACGAGATTTTCAGCCTTATAATGAGGGTAGCTTAATAATCCCCCCAGCACCAATCCTCAATGGGGACAAAATCTCGTCCGACAAAATACCGTCAGATAAATAATCTAGTCAGAAACGGATGACAGATTTTGGAATACTCATGCAGTTCAAGATTACTCGTCGCCATGAGCATCCGAAAATCTGTTGTCCGAATCTGGACTTTAAAAAAATTTTTTTCAGTGGAGAATATTAAAGGGGTAAATTCGGGGGAAATAAATAATTAATTTTTTAATTAATTTCTGGACTATTAAATAGACTAAAAAGTGGCGCTAATTAATTCCTCCTCCCACTATTAAATTAAAAAAATATTTTTATCTCTCTCCAATAGGTTCGCAATGGGGGCAAAATGACGTCCGACAAATTACAGTCGGTAAAGGGGGTCAAAATACCCTACAGACAATTCACCGAAAAAGGGTGAATTGTCAAGACTAAAGGTCAAAACCTCCCTATAACATATCCTAAGGGGTCAGAAATAAATCGTACCTTATAATGAGGGTTTCTTAAATAGGGGTATTATTGAAAATATGGGTCAAAATACCTTTAAGACAATTCACCGAAAAGTTGACACAGACGAACCTCATTAAAAGGTTCGACTCCCATTGGTTCAGAAAAGGCGTACCTTATAAAGAGGCTATTTAAATAGGAGGTATTGTTTAGTTGAAGTTACCCGTTGAAAGTTACCTACGATTAGCAGACATAAAGTTTATCGGTGGATTATCGATAGGTTGTCGGTGGGTTGTCGGAATCTGTCGGTGAATTGTCGGTAACCTGTCGGTGAATTGTCTAGGGTGTCGGTAGCTTGTCGGTGAATTGTCGGACTGCCTTTTTTCACAATAAAAGATCCAAACCACTGATTTGGCCAAATCACTACAAATTTATTTATTCATTTAGCTCGTTTAATTATTTTTTAGTCATTTTACTGACAGTCTGTTGAATGTTGATGATTGTTCGTGTAAAAAGTTTTGTGGGGAAATTTGGAATGAAGGGGAAAAAGGAATTTTGTCCTCTCATTGTGTGTGGTATTTAATTTAAATAAAATTGTAGGAAAATGAAAAAAATTGAAAAATGTAAATATTTAATTAAAAAAGAGAATTTTATTAAAAAATAAATAAAAATTTCTAATTTTTGTTAATTTTCCGTGAATTGTCTGTAGATTGTCTGTGAATTGTCTGTAGATTGTCGGTGAATTGTCGGCCCACTCAGATGAGCTGAGTCGCCTCTTTGAAGCTCAGTTTTTAGGAGCCTAGATCTCGGTCCAATCAAGTCGGATTTTGTTGATTTTGGTGCTATTCGACTCAGCTCGAGGAGGCGAATCGGATCCGTGATCTGCCTTCAAAGGCTTTACAGCAAAGATACAGTTGTACTCGTAATTTTGCTTTCATATGAGTATTATCCAATCGAGCTGATTATGGTATCATTCGAAGCAGCTTGAAGAGCTCTAGCTAATGGGCTAGAATTTTTATTTTTAAATATACCCAAAAGGGATCGAACTTTGTAACTCTCCAACGCATTTACGAAAGTTTTACTGACTGAACCACTCTACATATGTTTCTTGAAAAATTTCCAGGGAAAGATAGGGCGTCTTTTTTGAGGAAAATTTCTTTCTTGATTTTTTTACAAAAGAAATAATTAATTACAACCAAAAGGATTCGAACCCGCAACCCTATAACTTCTTTCTGCGGACTTTCCAACTGAACTATTAAGACAACAAAATCTTTTAATTTTGTCTTAAAATTTCTACAAAGGTCCTCATTTTCAAAAAAAAATTTTTTTTGAAGTTTCTTTTACAAAAAAATATTTTTAACTGTTAGGCATTCGTTTTTTTATCAATTAAAAAAAAGTTTGACCACATCAAGGTTTGAACCCCGACCCCTCTCCCCAAGGTGCAGAAGCTCTACCAACTGCACCACCGAAGCAACAAGGATAGGTTCTTTCTTTCCTCTTTTCCCTTTTCTTTTAAGCTTAAATTCCCCTTTTTATTGCCAGCCTTTGAAACTTTCGTTGTCAAGACAACCGATATAGGGGTACCCTAAAGCATTTGAATTTTCATGATTTTCTCTTCTATTTTTTAAACTTTATAAAATGGACGACGATTTTGATCTTCCCGATGTATGCTTTCTAAATCAATTTTTAGTCACAAAATTTTCAGGAAGGAGGGAACGCTTCGGGGAGCAGTTTTGTGAACGACTTATTTTCGAATAGACCAAAGGTTGTTTGAAGTAATTGGACCTTATTATAAAATAAACACTATAGAGACCGGACTGGGAGAGTCATACAAGAATCGAGATCTCGAAAAATTTTCGATCTCGATAACCGAGAATTTTGACTGAGATCTCGTCTCGGTCCGGCCTACTATAAAGCTTCAATATAAGACCTCTATAAGATACCCCCAATGTTAGATAGACCTCTATTTAAGATATGACTTGGAAAAGTAGGGCGACCATTGGGTGGGAGAGCTGGCAAAGCGATACCCTCTATTTAAAACGCACTCATTATAAGATACAACCTCTTTATAAGATACACCTAATATAAGATACATTTCTAATTAAGATGCCTTGGTTGACCAATCGGAGGGAAGATCCAACTCAGCGATACCCTCTATTTAATATACACCTCATTATAAGATACACCAAATAATAAATATACCTCTATTTAAGATACTGATGGGTCTATTTGGGATACTTTGAGGGGGGACGGAGACTCACTGGGCGAGGAAGGTCTTAGAGATACCTCCTATATGATACACCGCATTTACAATAAAACCTCTATATAGGATACCTCCTATTTAAGATACCCTCACTAGAAGATACCTCGTTTTTAAACTCAATTAAACACAATTCTATGCGGAAGATATACTTTTTAAATTTTGATTGACCTAAAGGAGGAGAGCTGCCCAAGTAATACCCTCTATTTAGGATACACCTCATTAGAGATCGAGATTTTTGAAAAGCCTGGGCCTGTAGTCCATGAAAAACCTGTAGTCAAGAAAAACCCCAGGAAGGCCTAAAAATGCCTGGGCTTGGACTCTGGGTACAGGAAAACCCCAGGCATTGGTCCAGACCCCCCAGCTCGATCTCTACACCTAAATATAAGGCACAATTTTTTCTGCCCCAAGAGTGTATCTTACTGAGGTCCGATTGCGTCTGTCTTTTAATCCTCAACTCCTTTATTAAGAGGCAAACTGGCGGAATAGACGACATTTTGGCTAGTTCTTCAAGACAAAGGCCTAGAGTCACTTTTCAAGATGAACAACCACCACCCAATCCAGAGCCTCCTGCACAGCCAGTTTCTTCTTCTCTGTTAGATTCTCTCTTTTCTGGAGGTTCTTCAGGGGAGCAGAGGAGGGGTGCAAGAGCTGGAGGTGCAACACCTAGCAGTTCTGCTCAATTGTCGTCCGCCCCAATGTAATTTTATTAAATTAGGGACATTTGTGTAAAGCGACATTTGCGAACATTTCTTAAGTGAACGACATTTGCGAATGCCATTAAGTAAACGACATTTGGGAACACCGGGGAATAATGCGACATTTGTGAACAGTTGCAAGGAAACGTCATTTCCATTCTCCGCTAGTTCAAAATCCTATAGTCTTCAGCTTTGTCCGCAAATGTCGGTCCACAAATAATAGTGGGTTAACTCAAGGGGACCAATTCGGCTGTACTTTAGTATAGGTCCACCGAGATCGGAACTCAGACTATATACCATTCGATTCGTCTCACCGAGCTGAGTTCAAATATGCAAGAATTTTCTGCCGGAGACGAAAACTCGCAGAGATACAGGCGATTGAAAATCGAAAAACCATAGGGGGGACCAAGCACTTTTTGGGGGTGAAAAATTCGAAAATGCAAATGATACCTCATTCGAAAGAGCTCTTCGAGCTGAGTCGAATGACACCAAAATCAACGAAATCCGACTTGATTGGACAAAGTTATGATCTTTTATTTTAGCTCCTTACCTATGGCATTTGTGGAGATTTTTGCTGCTACGGAGGCCCCAAATATGTCCAGAGCAAGGGAGATAGGAATAGGCCGTAGACTCCCCGCGCCCGTAGACTCCCCGCGAGGCGCGTGCCGCAAACCCCCCGCGCGAAGCGCGGGGGGTTTGCACAAGCGCCTCGCCGACGCTCCATAGGTTTAGGTTTTTTGTTTTTTGTGTCATAACTTTGTCTAATCTTGTTTAAGCACGGTGATTTTGGTGTCATTCGACTCAGCTCGAGGAGCTCTTTCGAATGAGGTATTATTTGTTTAAAAAATTTTTTATTCCAAAAATCGCCCCTTTTGATCTTCGGTTTTTAGGGGTCTATATCTCGGTCCAATCAAGTCGGATTTCGCTGATTTTCGTGTCATTCGACTCAGCTCGAGGAGCTCTTTCGAATGAGGTATCATTTGCATTTTCGAATTTTTCACCCCCAAAAAGTGCTTGGTCCCCCCTATGGTTTTTCGATTTTCAATCGCCTGTATCTCTGCGAGTTTTCGTCTCCGGCAGAAAATTCTTACATATTTGAACTCAGCTCGGCGAGACGAATCGAATGGTATATGGTCTGAGTTCCGATCTCGGTGGACCTATACTAAAGCGACCCCACCAATTCAAAAGAAACAGGTCAAATCTAAAAAGTTTTTTACTAGACGTGGCCCATCTCCTTTACGTCCTCAAACCGGCAGTCAAAGAGCAGAGCAACCTACCCTTAACCGTCCCACCCCAACAATACAACACCAAGAATCTCAACAACAAATAAGCGTATCTGCCGCTATTCAGGCTGAATTGGACCAGTTGAAGAGGTAATCGAAAGTTCAAATTGATAAGATTATACAACATTATTAGATATTCATTTAGGTTGAAAAACCGTATCTTGTAATGCGGGGTCTTTGAGGGTATCGCTTAGTTGGCTTCCCCTACTCGTGTCCAGCCCTATTTAAAAATACGAAGTAGAAGTGATATAGTGGACCTGGACCCCGGCCTTTGGGATCGAAAAGTTGGAGTTAGGGTTCGAATTGGGTCGGGTTCGACAAAATTGTTCAGGGTCGGGTTGAAATTTGTATATTGGTTGGGAGTATAGCCAAAATAGTCGTAGTTCAGGGTCTGGGTCCAGCCCAAGTATATAGTGTTATATATACAACGGATACAGGCGGATATCCGCAGGTATCTTGCTATCTGTATCCATATCCGTGTCCAAGAGCAGGTCTGGTTTGAGATATCTTTTAAAGAGGTCCATTCCAAGAACACCACAGAAACTTCCCTTAATCTCATTTTTTCTATTCTCAAGAGAAGTAAGCTCATTGCGTTACGAACATTCTGAAGACCAACAAACAATTGCCGAGCTAAGGCGGAAACTGGAAACCGAACAAAGTGAACACAAACGCAGCAGTGAGCGAATAAGAGAGGAAACCAAAATGGAGGTACAGGAATTAGCTAGAAGGAATGAACGTGAAAAGGAAGAAGCTCGTCGAGAAGCGGATAGAAGTGCACAGATGTTAAACAGCATTAGAGAACAACAAGGGTAAATTTGAGAAAAGATAAGGGGTTGATCAAGCGCCTCGGCAACATACTACAAAACGCCTGGGGACAAGATATAAGAAGCCTGGAGGTTGGCGTATCCAATCCGGAAAAACGACTGGATATCCGAAAATCTCGGTCCGGATATCGGATCCGCAACCTTAGTATGATCTCAATAATTCAAGTAACGCAGTACCCCTCCCACTCTATGTACTCAAAGCTTAGTTGTTACATTAATCTGTACAGTAAGATAGATAAATGTTTAACCAACGACAGGCATCGATTCTGCAAATCTTGGAAGTTATAGGGTTGTTAGGCTTTTAATATGGCATGGGTCTCTATTAGAATTATTGTACTTGAATTTAAATGTGCCCAACCGGCTGAGCTACTGAGAGTCACTCTCTTTTAATAGAGCATAAACTCCTTCCTGTCTAGTAAGGCTGCCGGACGGTTGGAAATCTTCGGATATCAGGATCCGGTATCCGAACCGAAAATTTCCGGATATCCGGTCTTTTTCGGATCTAGATCCGACATCCTTCTGCTTAGTGAGCTCAAACATACGTGACGGGATTTCCTCCTTCTTTACAGCACTGAATAAAGCGCTTTCCACCCTGTCTAACGCTATTAGCGATAGGAGAGCCTTAGAGGCTTAATCAATCTCGAGCCTTTTTGGATCAATACTTTATAGACATTTCGACTCAATGGCTACACGATTGGAAGGCCTAAATTTTGGGTTGGTTCAAGTGAGGGATTTAGTAGCAAATGTTAATGAAAGCAACAATAAAATGGCAAAGGAATGGCATGAACAGCAATTAGAGCATTGGAAACGTTTAGACGAAGAAAGAGAGAGGCTGGAGAATTCTATAAGGACAATGGAGAAGGAGATGGATCAAATGAGAGAATCTTATCAAAAGGCTGGTTTACTCGGAACGTCCCACTTCAGTCCCTGGTCGTTTCAGTCCCGAGCTTGTAACTCGGGAATTTGGAAATAATTTACTGAACTTTTAGTATCATTGGATAGAGGATTAAATTCTCTACAAAATGATATCAAAGATAAAATAATCTTATCAACTGATAATGAAGTTATAATCAAAAAACCGCCATTTTTAAAATAAGTCATTTTTTTGCATGTTTTTTGATCATAACTTTGGGACCTGTCGATCAAATTTTTCGATAACTAGCTTATTTTGTAGCTTAATTAATCCTCTATCCAACGATACCAAGAGTTCCAAAAACTACTCGAACCTTCTCGAATTATAGAGCTCGGGACTGAAACGTCCCGGGACTGAAGTGTCCCCTACCGTAGTTACTATTCGATTGCAGCTACGATCGAGTGATCAATATGGCGAAGATTCACCAGTAATCGAATGACTAAGGCGAATCGAATGAATTGGTTCTCAAAGATATGTCCCCCTTTTAAAGCTTGGGTCCTCAAATGTTGGGTGGGAAAAGGGGCGAGTTGGAATGGGGGATGGGCAAATTTCTAAGTTCACGCTAAATTCTCTTTAATTTTTAAGGAAATAGTTGAAGGCAGGAAATGGTTGGAAGAACAACGCGAAGTTGGTCACATCGAAAGGCGAGCTTTTCAAGAAGAACAGACTCAGTTACTCGATTGGATTGAAAAAGCTAAAGAACAATTAGAGGTGGATAAGGCGGAATTTTTACGGCGAGAACACGACCTTTTGGCAAGGATTCTTAATGAAAGAGCTCTGCTTGAAATTGAAAAGAGAGAATTTAGACAGCAGAGGGATGCCGATGTTTTTCGATTAAAGTACTGTTAATATTCAAATTGAAGCCCCGGGGCTCTATATTCGATATGCCAGAATTGTTTAGGCTTCTATTGGAGAGTGGGCGTTTATTAGAGAGTGGGCGTTTATTAGGGAGTAGGCGTTTATAGAAGAGTAGGCGTTTATTAATAAATGGGCGTCTATTAGAGAGTAGGCGCTTATTAGAGTGAGACGTTTAATAGAGAGTAGGTGGTTATAGAGAACAGGCTTCTATTAGAGAGTGGGCGTTTATTAGGGAGTTCGGCGTTTATTAATAAGTGAGGCTTCTATTAGAGAGTGGGCGCTTATTAGAGAGTAGGTAGTTATGGAAGATTATTAAGTGGGCTTCTATTAGAGAGTGGGAGTTTATTAGGGAGTATGTGATTATGGAAGAGTAGGCGCTTATTAATAAGTGGGCGGCTATTAGAGAGAGTAGGCGCTTATTAGAGTGAGGCGTTTATTAGGATGACGGCGCTTAACGGAAGAACAGGCGTTTATTAGAGAGTAGGCGTTTAATAGAGAGTAGGCGCTTAACGGAGAACAGGCGTTTATTAGAGAGTGGGCGATTATTAGGGAGTAGGTGGTTATGGAATAGTCGGCGTTTATTAATAAGTGGGCGCCTATTAGAGAGTAGGCACTTATTAGAGTGAGGCGTTTATTATAGTGACAGTGCTTAATGGAGAGTAGGCGTTTATTAGAGAGTGGGCGTTTATTAGGGAGTAGGCGTTTATAGAAGAGTAGGCGTTTATTAATAAATGGGCGTCTATTAGAGAGTAGGCGCTTATTAGAGTGAGACGTTTAATAGAGAGTAGGTGGTTATAGAGAACAGGCTTCTATTAGAGAGTGGGCGTTTATTAGGGAGTTCGGCGTTTATTAATAAGTGAGGCTTCTATTAGAGAGTGGGCGCTTATTAGAGAGTAGGTAGTTATGGAAGATTATTAAGTGGGCTTCTATTAGAGAGTGGGAGTTTATTAGGGAGTATGTGATTATGGAAGAGTAGGTGCTTATTAATAAGTGGGCGGCTATTAGAGAGAGTAGGCGCTTATTAGAGTGAGGCGTTTATTAGGATGACGGCGCTTAACGGAAGAACAGGCGTTTATTAGAGAGTAGGCGTTTAATAGAGAGTAGGCGCTTAACGGAGAACAGGCGTTTATTAGAGAGTGGGCGATTATTAGGGAGTAGGTGGTTATGGAATAGTCGGCGTTTATTAATAAGTGGGCGCCTATTAGAGAGTAGGCACTTATTAGAGTGAGGCGTTTATTATAGTGACAGTGCTTAATGGAGAGTAGGCGTTTATTAGAGAGTGGGCGTTTATTAGGGAGTGGGCGTTTATTAGGGAGTGGGCGCTTATTAGAAGCGGGCGTTTATTAGAGAATAGGCGTCTATTAGAGTGAGGCGTTTATTAGAGTTATTAAAGTGACGTCGCTTAACAGAGAATAGGCGTTTATTAGAGAGTGGGCGTTTATTAGAAAGTGGGCTTCGATTGAAAGATCAATACCCTAGTGGTGTTTATACTGATTAATCTTTCTAGGGAAGAGGCTGAACATTTGGAGCAATGTCTAAATCAGGCTGAAAATGCAAAGATCGCAATGGAAAATGCAAAAAAGGAATTTGAACGGAGAAGCTCGCAGGTACTAGACAAAAATTGGACTAATTAATGACTGACTTTTTAAAAGTTGACTCAACTTCGTGAAGTACTTTCTCGTTATGAAAATTTAGCTACCCGTCTAGTGCGCAGCACTCAACAGAAGATTACAAAAGAATATTGAGAATTTTTGATTTTTTAGTGATTTTCACAAGGGACATGCCCAAAACGGCGCGCGGCCTTAACGGCGCGAAGCCATAACTTGCTAGAAAATTTCTGTCCCCTATCAATTTTGGTACCAAACTCTTCAGCTCGATGAGACGAATCGTTTGATACTAAATTTGGTAAGATTCGGATAACTTGAAGCAAGTTATGGCTTTGCGCCGTTATGGCTTTACGCCTACTTGGGCTGTCCCATTCTAACAAATTCCCTGCTACAAATTGGCATTTTTTGTTGATAGCACCATTTTGTTTAGTATCATTTTGTCGTATTTTACCCGTTGTACTATTTTGTCGAGACATTATTAATTTTTAGATATTTTTAGAGTATACATTTTGTAATTACCATTTCAACAATAATTCTGAGAGAGCTTTCAAAATCTCAATTTTAGTATATTTCTTTTGTACTCTCACTTATTTCACTACTATTTTGGTTTTCCATTTTCTTTACGATTTTTAACAAGCCTGTCATATTCTGCCAAAACATATTTTGCCAATAAGGCTAAAAACTTGTGTTTTGTCAAAATGCAGTGTTGACAAAATGTGGTATTTTAACCTTATTGGCAAATATGGTTTTGGTTAAATATAGGCAAGCTTTCTAAGGCAATTTTTATTTTTGTAGTAAAATTTTTGGTATTTTGTTAAGATTTTTAGGGGAATTTTTGACGTCTTTTGTTTAGTAGAGATCGAAATTGGTATTGACTGAGTTACGAGGGTTTCTAGGGACTATTCCCTTGCGTTTCTGTGGGTAAGGTTGTCGGTTTCAACCGAAATTTTCTGTCTTTGTTCCGTAAACTAGTTTTGGTTCTGTTTTCGATTATCCAAAAGGTTTCGGTTTGTTCTTGCGAAATTTTGCCTATTGGTGACCTTAATAACTGGCGAAACCGACAACCCTATTCCAATGGGATTTTGTGACTGTGGTCATAGCGGAGTTTTTCTTCCAAGTCATAGCGGAGTTCTTAGTGGGGGGTAGATCCACGAATCTCCTGGCCCTTTGTTTTTCGTGATTCAGGCCCAGTTCAATGGACCAAATTTCGGTACTCCGGTTGGATCTTCCATTGAATTAAATGATGGGGTGAGGGGCAAAACGCGGTCTTACAAAAATGGGGCGGACAAAGGCTTGCGCCAAAATGACCCCCTACCCATTGAAAATGAACTGAACCCGTCTCTTTCGATCTCTACTGTTCATTTTCCTTTAACAGATAGAAATAATCATGCAACTATTTGTGAAGACTCTCGACGGGAAGACTCTAATCTTCGATGTTGACGCTTCCGATACCGTTGAACATGTCAAATCGAAAATTCAAAATTTGGAGAATACTCCTGTAGAGGAGCAACGCTTGGTTTATTTTTTAGACTTTTTTCTTCCTTTTTACTCAACTTTTATTTTTAAGATTTGTGCTGGTGTACAGCTCCAAGATGGAAACACTTTGGCTGATTACAAGTTGGAGGAACATTCTACTGTTCATCTGTCGCTTAGGTTCACACTTTTTAAATTTGTTTTTAAGTTGGGGAATTAACACGGAGTTTCCGGGTAGGGCCCTCATGGTAGAGATTGAGATTTTCAAAAGCCTAGACATGTTCCTGGACTCTGGGGTTTGTTTTATTCAACTGGCCCGTATCCTGGGCCTGTATTCCAGGAAAAACGCATGCCAAGGAAAACCCCAAAAGGTCAAAAGATGCCTGGGCCTGGACTCTGGGTATAGGAAAACAATGGCCTTGGTCCAGATCCATCTCATCACTAGAGTCAATTGAAGCTTTTTAGAGTCCTTTGAGGCTTTATGAGTCCGTAAAAGTTTATGAGTCCAAAAACATTTGTGAGACCAATGAGGATTTTATTGGACTCAAACTTTTGTATGGACCCACAAGGATTCATAGGGCTCATAAGGACTTTGGGTACAGGAAAAACCCAGGCCTTGGTCCACAGACACAGCTCGATCTCTACTACATAGGCGAAACCATAAATTCCTGGCCACAGGAATGACTGGTCTGGTCAGGCCTAGTGTTCGGCAAATGACCTTTTCCGGTATTCGGTATCGGTATACCGAAAAAATACCGATACCGAAAAATACCGTTTTTTACAAAAATTGACCGGTACGGTATCGGTATCGGTATACCGGAAAAATACCGATACCGGAAAATACCGTCTCAACATTTTCGGTATACGGCCGGTATTCGGTATTTTTTAAAAAAATTTTATAAAATTTTTTAAATTTTATTTTTAAAATCTTAACAATAAATCTTAACAATCTAAAGGACTTGAGCTTCTTCTAATCGATCATAGGCAAGATTTGAATGAGCAAAATGTCCAACAATTGCTCGACATTTAGCTAATTGGAAAATACAATGCCCCCTCCATTAGAATACCCTCCTTTAATAGAATGCCCCTATAGAAGGCCGCTATATATACTATTTAAGCGCCGCAGGCGAAAATTTTGAGAATTTTTGAAGACCAGAAGACAGATTTCTTCCTTTTTCAGCGCCGCAGGCGAAAATTTTGAGAATTTCACAAATACCGAAATACCGGAAAATACCGCGGTATTTTTTCGAGGACCGGTACGATATCGGTATCGTTATACCGGAAAAAAATACCGCGGTATACCGGGAAAAATACCGCGGTATACCGTACCGTGCCGAACACTAGTCAGGCCCAGACATGTGCGACACTTTTTTCTCTATGGGCGGCGGGGGAAGGGGAGGAAGTTCATCCATAGATTTGGGACCTAAACAATTTGGGGTTTCGTAGGTTCTTAACTAAATTATCCAGACACAAATAAGGTCCTTTGTTGTATTTTCAGTTTTGTCCGCAAAAATTGTCCGCAAGAAGTGTCCGCAAAAAATAAAAATCTTTGAAATTTTACCAATTTTTCTATTTTTTCAGCTTGCTCGGTGGTGGTAAGAAGCGTAAGAAGAAGCAGTACACTGGACCTAAAAAACAGAAGCATGTTCGCAAGAAGGTCAAATTGGCTGTTCTCAAGCTTTATAAGGTCTTATTTTGATTTTTAGGATTTTTGAGGATTTTAAAGATTTTTTGTGGTCTGGGGGTTTTCTAGAAGGGATTAGGGCATGGATATCCTCAATTCGGTCAGTGCTTGTTAAAAACTGTCGGTGAATGCAGCCAAAAAATTAAAGTTTTTATCATATTCCCCCATTTCCGTGGCCATGTGGCAGCTCGAAAGCCTAGGATTTTGGGAATTTTGAGGATTTTTGATGGTTTTTTAGAAGGGGGTAGGACACGGATATCCACGATTAGCCACGATAAGCTTTCTGGGAATGGAGCCAAAAAATTCAAAGTTTTAATTATTACGTTTCCCCCATTCCCTTGATTACGTGGCAGCTCGAAAGCCATGTTCTTACTTTTCCAAAGTTGGGAAAGCTTTTAAGTGTAGCGGTTCATTTGAAGTCACGTTTTTTTAAAGATTTTCTTAACAAGTGTTGACCAGAAATTTATATAAAAATGAAATTTTTTTTGGCTCTGGTCTCGTTTACGAGTCCTTTGAAGGTTTACAAGTCCACTGAAGCCTTATGAGTCCTACGAACCATTGTGAGTCCATACAAAAGTTTATGAGTCCTATAAAATCCTCATTGGTCTTACAGTTGTTTTTTGGACTTATAAACTTTGGCAGGACCCATGAAGCTTCGTTCGACTTTAAACAGCTTCAATAGACTCTAATGATCGAGCTGGGCCTGGACCAAGGCCTGGGTTTTTTTCTGTACCCAGAGTTCAGGCCCATGCATTTTTTTGACCTTCCTGGGGTTTTCCTGGGCCTGGGTTTTTCCTGGACTACAGGCCCAGGCTCCAGCCCAGGTCAATAAATCAAACTCCAGAGTCCAGGAATAGACCCAGTCTTTTCAAAAATCTCAATCACTAGTGGACTTATAATTTGGAACAGAGCCTAAAAAAATTTTTTTTTTAAATTTTTTCAAAAAATTTTTTCAAAAATTTTTCAAAAAAATTTTTCAAAAAAAAATTTTTCAAAAAAAAATTAAAAAAAAAATTTTTTTCCTCTAGATTGATGACAATGGTCAAATTCAACGTCAACGTATTGAGTGTAATTCTGCCACTTGTGGTGCTGGGATTTTTATGGCTAAACACAAGGATAGACATTATTGTGGAAAGTGTCATCAAACTTTGACTGAGAAGAAGGGTTGAAAAGTTATTGTTGATTAAGAAAAAATTTTTGTTTTTTGGGTGTTATCTTTAAAAAATCTGTTAATGTTAAGTAAAAGAAAATAAAAATTGTTGAAAAATAATTCGTTTCCAAATAATAACTGCTGAGTTCAAATATGCAAGAATTTTCTGCCGGAGACGAAAACTCGCTGAGCTCCCGAAAATCGAAAAACCACATAGGGGGTTCGTCAGCTCGGCGAGACGAATCGAATGGTATATATCACAAGTTTCGGAACTTATGCAGTTTGGTACACCCCCCATTTATTCGTGAGATAACCCTCCTTTATTAGGCAAATTGACTAATCAAACCGAATATTCGCGAGCTAGCAACAAGCCTATATTACAGCGTACTAAACAAAGCAGCTCACGACTCTTGCGAGACGCGTGCTGGTTAACATCGCATAATGCGAGGAATTAGCCCAAGTGTTTTTCGACCTCAATATGGTTATTTTGGCCATTTTGAGCTTGCGAATAAATGGGGTGTGTACCAAACTGAATAAGTTCACAAGTTTCGATCTCTGTGGGCATATACTAAAGCGACCCCAAATAATCTTCATTTATAGCAGGGTTTTAGGCTAAACTATAATTTCGTTGAGTTTTTAATTTTGGGACATGCTATGTATATGTCAAACGAATGGGCCACCATAATTGAGACCGCAGGCGCCCTAATTTTGTGTTGTCACAGTTCTACCAACTCTTTCGATACAGAACAGGGTCGAACCCTTTATTCCCTATTTTTGAGAGGCCATATCCCCTTTTGGTGATTTGGGAAGCTCGAAGATGATAATTCCTGTTACGACCCGAGATGTCCGAGGTTTAACTAATGTCAACTAACACAACAATAACAATTTATCACGTGTAGAAATGTACAATGTGTAGGCGAAGGGAATGGGAAAGACGAAGGAGATCAGTGACTAGCCCCGCTAGTATGATCCGACTAGACTGACGCTTTCACTGGCTTTTATACTAAACACTTTAAGGGCTGACGCCCATACACAACAATTCCCATGATCATTTTTATGGTTAGATTTTACATTTGGGCTGAATGACTCCATGTATCTCACTAGCTCACATTAAAACGACATCCAAGAAACCTTTCCTCGTAAAGTGTAAGTCGCGCCAAATCTGTTATGACCCCGCTTATGAAGACGAAGCTAACAGAAACGTTTATCGCACAAAGAAATACAAAGCAGACGAAGGTTGTAGGAAGAAGAACTAAAACTGGGAGCGCGAACTAACTATTGGCTGGGCTTTTATACTAAACACTTTAAGGGCTGACGCCCATACACAACAGGAAGTCCAACTAAATTTACTATAAAAAGCCTACTTCGATACCTATTAAATTAATCAATCTACATTCACCACTGATCACCAAAGCCGTCTTCATTGTCAACTATCAAATGGCTCAGGCTTCGCGCGCAACTTGTCCCGAATGCTTGGAGGAGGTCGGAAACCAGCCTAAAATCTTCGCTCTGGGGCAGCTTTGGTATGTTTCTCATTTTATTTTTTGTCAAAAAAATCTTTTTTTTCTCGTTTTGCAGGCATCGTGAACACTTCCGTTGCGCCACCCCGGATTGCCGCCGCCAATTGGATGCCAACTATCAGGCAAGAAATAATTCAAATTTGATTTAAATTTTCAATAAACAAAAGTTTTTTTAGCTGTTCGACGACCGTCACTACTGCCTTGAATGCCATGCTAAGCGCAGCAATCCAAGATGCGCCCTCGAGACGTGCCAACAACTCCTGGCTGGGGAGTTCTACTTCGCTTTGGACAACTACTGGCACCCGCAATGCTTTCGCTGTGAAGGATGTTCTCGTCCACTGGAAGGCGGAAACTACTACTTGGTGGATGATTGATGCGGATTTTTTTTTGAAATTTTTTTAAGAAAAAAATTTTTATTTTGCAGACTTTGCCTGTCACTGGGGAAGACGTCTCGCTCTTCAGAACGGAGCGAGCTCCGATTCAGAGCTCTCACAATGAAGTCTTCGATGCTTCAAACAGGATCAAATGCTAATAATGAAGGATGCTAATAATAATGTTGATATATATTTTTGTGATTGTATATAGATATTGTATGTATGTAAATTGTTGATTGTTTATATTGTATATAAATTGCTTTCGGCTTCATGGCCAACTTGAAAAATAAAAATTTTCACTTGCGAGTTCCCTTGAAAAAAAGGGGGCAAAAAATATCTTTTTAACAATTACTTCCGTCCTCCTTCGAATTCCATCTTTTTTATTCTTCTGTTATCACTTTCGACCTGTTAAAATACGGGTTGAAACATCACCTGAAACAGCAGTCTTCTTTGTTTGTCCTTTAGTAGACAAGTGGGTTTTTATAGTAAAATGATTTGGGGAGTGAGAAAATTGGGGTTTTTATAGTAAAGCGTTGCCTGTTGAATTAGGTTGTAAGGGTAAGAAGATAGTATAAAAGCAGGCTATTTTGGTCATTCCTCAACTGCTTTCAACACTTCTAAACGTACTGTGCTTTGTTCTACGTCAACTTTTGCCGGAGTCCTGTGTCCTCTTGAGTGCTAGACGTCAACGTTCTTTTGGAGTGCTAGACGCAACGTTCATTTGAAGTTCACCAAATTAGCCTGCGGTCTCAACATTGGGTCGAGGTACAGGCCTCTGAAAAGTGAAAACCATAAGGGGGACCAAGAGCTGTTTTTTCGAGTGAAAAATTCGAGTGGATAAGAGCACTAACTACAAAATCGTTTAAAAATCGGGCTCGGGTTCGAACCTTTTTATGGTTAATTAATATTTTTTAATTAGATAAATAAAATTAAACACGAAATAGACGCAATGTACGACTCGCCAAATAGAATTTAACCAAAATTTTTATTTATTTTTGGACAGAAAAAGTACTACTAATTAATAAAATTTTCTAAGGGATTAACAGAATTACAAAAATATTTTCTTAAAAAATTTTTAAAAAATTTTCAGCTCAAGTTTCTCTTCTTTCCACAACGTTCCCCTCAAATTATCAACAATTTCCACTGCTTACTAAAGTAATTTTAGGGGCCGAACTCGAGCCAGAAACGCCCATTCCTACATTATTATAAGTTGCTCCAGCATTTATTTTTACATTAGAAATTGAATATTTTCCTCCAGAAAGGTTGTTAGCGTTCCAAACGTTGATTGATTGCTAAAATGATTTAAAACTTTTCTTGATTTATGGGCATTAGAGACCGGACCGAGATAATATCTCGATCGAAAATCTCGAGTATCGAAATCGAGACTTTCGAGACCTCGATTCTCGTATGACACTCTAATGGGCATTAATAGGCTGCACAAAAGGGCCCATTTCAAAGGTCAACTGCAAGAACGTCAAGCCTTTAATAGTCACAAATAAGGTTGTTGTTTCCGAAAACCGAACCGAAAAATCATCAGTTTTCGGTTCGGGAACCGAAAAATCATCAGTTTTCGGTTCGGTCCAGAACCGACAATCCTGGTCACAAATCCTTGCAGTCGATCTCAAGGTGATTTGACCTTTTAGTAGTTGACTTTAGGGTCATTTGACCAATAGTGAATTGGCCTTCTCGGAGTTGATCTTCTTGGTCGATCCCGTAACTATCTGTATTGCGCCGTGCGAATGACCTTACTCGAAATCTCGTCTCGGTCCGCTTATAAATACAGTAGGACCTCACTATAAAATACACCTCAATTTAAGCTACGACTGGAAGAAGGCTCCATCTAAGTGATACACCCCAATTTTAAATGCACCTCTATAAGGAGCGTTTTCCCAGTAAGGTTGTACAGTATGCACCATATTAAATACCCCAAGGGTATAACACATTATAAGGTAAGGAGTTTTCGCACAAAGGAGGTCAGCGGACTTCGTTTTTAAATATCCTCGAATTTTGAAAACCCTCGCTTTAAGATAGGATACAAGGGGGAACGAGGTCCAACTTTATATTAAACCGAGGTCCAAATTTATTAATCAATCAAAAACCAACTTTAGCAACGGGGGCTACTTGAAACGTTACAGAGCAGACTGGAGCATTTCCAGTATTTTTCACTATAATTTTGTAGTTTGCACCATTTGGCCAGGTTTGATCGGCGTTTAAACTTATGGAGATTTTCCCTCCTCCTTTGGAATTATTTTTATTCGTGTCCGTTTTAGTTCCATTTTTCTTGAGGGTAGTTCCCCCGTTGTTTCTGCTTGGTGCCCCATTATTGTTATTGTTATTGTTGTTTGAAGGAGAAGGAGCAGCATTGTTTGGCGTGCCTCCACTGCAACTGACACCTTTAAATTAAAGTATATTAGTGATACTCGAGATTCTCGATCTGGGTCTCGATCTGAGATTTTTCTCGGGGTTTTAGGTCTCGATTTCTCAAGTCTCGGTTTCACTTAATTCTTGGTCCTCGAGTCTCGATCTTTCCCGAGTTTCGATCTAGTCTCGATTTCGGAGTTTCGACCTCGGTTCCAAAGCTTCGATTTTGGTTCTCGAGTCTCGATCTCGGTTCCCGAGTCTCGATCCAGTCTCGATTTTGGAGTCCCAATTTTGGTTCCCGAGTCTCGATTTCGGTCCTTGAGTCTCGATGTCGGTTCCAGAGTCTTGTCTCGGTCTCGAGTTTAAGTCCCGAGTCTCGCTCTCGGTTATTGAGTCTCGATTCGGTATCCGAGAGTTGTGATTAGGACTGATCAACCAATTGGGTTCCAAATTACAAATCCCTCCATTGAAGGTGGAGGACGACTATTGTTTGGCTTGTCATCCTATTGGCAGCAATAGGACGACTTTTGTTTCCAAAACTCGGCGTGTGTATAGCTTCAAGAATAAATCGATACCAACCATTATTCATGTTTTTAAGATGAGCCTGAACAAATTTTCCAGATGGTGACCAATGAGAAGGATTGCCTACATCCGATGCAACAGTATTTGGATTAAGAGCTGCAGATCCTTCTCCCTTGTTACTAACTGCCCAGTTTAGATATGAAATTTTGTTTTTATCCCAGAAATTCCACCACTCATTCATGGATCCAGTATCCATATTTCCCCCGCCACTTGCATCAACAGTTCCATATTCAGATACAAAAATGCAAACATTCTATAATTTTAGAATTAGATTATTGAAAATTAAAAGTTTAATTTTAAATATTAGTGCTAGGGGTATTGGACATTTGTTGACTCTGGCTCCGAACTTTTTGGAACCCTGCTTTCTTCGGCGCTCTGTATTATAAATCTGGAACTTGTCTAGTTTATGTCTACACACCTTATTCGCGAGGTAAAATTGATACTGTAAACCTATAAGCGTTAGTTAGACTTGCGCTGGATTTTGCGAAACGCGTTTCGTGGAAGTCAACGGTAGCTCGGTCCTTGTACACAGTAGGGTAGAGTTATTGATGGCTTGCGAATAAATGGGGTGATCGGCGAATGAACGGGCCAATAATAGGGTGATGCTGAGGTTAAATAAAAGTCGCTCATTTTATGAGTAAGGATGTCGGATAGTTGAAAATCTTCGGATATCTGGATCCTATATCAGAATTGAAGAACTCGGATATCCGTATCCGGAACCGAAAGTTTTATTTGCAAAATTTTCGCCTGCGGCGCTAAAAAGTTGAGTCCATTGGAGGTATATAGAGGGATACATACTATGCTCCTTCTGATATTATATCCCCAAGTGTTGATAGAATGGGGTGTTATTTCAGAGACTAAAGCATGTCAAAGCCCCGACTATTGTGATACGATATTATGCAATAAACTATACATTATTCAAAGCAGTTTGAGCTTTATCCCTTATATTTTGCTTATGAGTAGCTGCATAGATGTGCAAAGTGTAGCACAGATTAGCTCCATTTACAGGGTCTCTAGAAGCAATATCAACATCCTGTGACCATGTAGATGTGCCAAGAGTGATCATATTATTTTTATCATATTGTCGGATTGTTGCTACAATCTGCTGGTGATATGCCTTAGAGTCTTCCAGTCAGTCGTAGGTTCATTGAAAGGCTCATAGATGATGTTTGGGTATTTTCCATATTTAGAAGCAAAATAAGTGAAGAATTCTTTCTGAAAATGTTATGTGTGAGTTAGAGGCGTGGAAATTGATTCCACATCTATAAATATCACGACTAATCGGTGTATGCTAAGAAAAAAAAAGTTCCAGGAACTGAGAGGGAGTGATTATGTTTTCCTGTTTACTAAGAAGAGCCTAATGGCTAGACAGATATCCCATAAACCAATGCGTGAAACAATGACTACAACCGGACTTCAGTACGGCCACAAACATTTAAACTTTCAAGACCATTTTTGAATTTTGGTTAGTTATTAGGTAGGATAAGCTGCTAAACGATAACCCTAGTACTGACTATATACGATCCAAGCCACATTCTTAGAAATGGACCTCAATCCTTTCTACTCATGGACCTCAATGTTTCCTTAAAGTCCTATAATTTAAACGCCTACCGCTCTAGCCAGCGAGTTTTGTGCCTGCTCCGTGTGATAGTCAACAACAGCATACATATCCAATTTAATAGCAGCCTGAACGACAGCCTCAACCTTATCACGCTCAACATTTGGAAGATCCAGATAACCCGGCTTTCCACACCCAGTAGATTCTACACCCATTGCCGCTCTGACAGCATTAGCATTCCACGCGCATTTGAGTTGACGCAAAGTTTCTTCGTTGTAAAAGATTTTGCCTTCATCACAGTTAGACCAGAAGAGAGACATTCCAGCAAGCTGAGCTGGTTGACCATTACTGCCCAACAATTTATTGCCTGAAAGTAGGGATTTTTTATCTCAATAAAGGTTATTTAAATGTGAAAATAAATACCTTTCACAGATAACTGCCCAAAAGGAGGAGCCGCGTTGCATGATAAGAATAATGACAACAATAAAAGAAGAGTAAACATTTTTTGGCTTAAATACTATCTTTGAGGGCTTGTTAAATGAATGAAACTGAAGCTATCTTATCGGCTTAAATAGTACTCAAGAATTTAAAATATTCTTTTGGCATTATGAAACATTTAGTTTGAAGTGTGTTTGTTCAGTCGACAATTTTATAATAAATCTTATAATTCTATAAGATAAATTTTTAAATTTAATGCATTAACACAGGATTATTGGTGTTGGCAAATTTGACTAAAACCGGAAACGAAGAAATTTTATAAGTTAGCGGATGTCAGAAAAAATTTAAATACTTTAGTAGTTTGTAATTAAAAAATTTTATTTAATTTTTTAATCCGACGTGGCGCTAAACTTCCGGAAATAGATTTAAACACATAGGCGGCAGAGCTCGATAGGAAATGACGAGGGGGCCGAAAGTCGGAACTGTCGGGAATAGGAACTAGCACAAAGGTAGGAAATCAGCCTAAATTTTCGGAAATCGGAATTCTGACTGACCTCGGATAGGTGGGAGCATTGAGCGTTCTATCAGCTCATTGGAGTACTGTGAGGTAGCAGAGACAGGTGAGCTGCCTTTTAGTTGTAGTTTAGACACCAGTAATTCGGATTAGTACTTGATAAACGCTGAATTTTGTATGGCTTTATTTTCACAAATACCAGGCAGCGGAATTAGGGTCCGCAATTCAGCGGATCCGCAAAATTCGCCTCACCTTTAACTGAACTATATACTTTAAACAAAGTATGACCAAAATTTAATGACAAACGTTTAGCTTTAAACAATATTCCACGTTTAACATAAAATTTACACGTTGAACTTTTTATTAATACGTACCTGTACGTACATTTTAAATAATAATTTTCTCGGGTTTTGGACAAATTTAATGTTTTCTCAACATAAAATTCATCAATATTATGTACAGTAAACGCTTGAATAATGAATTACCCAGGGTGTTACAACCTGGGCCCGTAGTATAAGACGATGGTTAGGTAACCATTGTAGCAGATGCCGAGGTGACCCTTAAATTATAGGGGAAAAGTTGGGCGTTGGTAGGTCACCTAACCAGCAACCACCGTCTTATACTACCGGCCCTGAGGGTTGTTCAGTTATGTCAGAGATTTATCTGATGTAGAACAGTTTATCCGGTATGGAAATGTACAATAATGAAGATGAAGATGGAAAGTGCTAGAGCAGACATCGGAGATCAGTGATTAGCCCCGCTAGTATGATCCAACTAGACTGACGTATTCACTGGCTTTTATATTTTAGTGCAGGGCTCTCATCGACAAAATATCAATCAAGGTACAAAAATTCGATTCTAGAGTACATAGTGTCAAAATTTCCAAATTTAAAGTACACTCATAATTAAATTAGAAAACTGAGCATTTTGTGCTCAGTTTTTAAATTAGAAAACTGAGCAGTAAGAGAATATTACATAATAGAAGAGTAAACATTTTTGGTTTAACTACTAGTTTTGAGAGCCTGTTAAATGAATGAAATTGAAGGTATCTTATAGGCTTAAATAGCAGTCGAAAATTTAAAGTATTCTCTTGGCATCACCTGACGATGATTACCTAACCATCGTCACCTACCATGGTTAGGTAACCACAAGGTCATTGTAAACCGGTAAAATAAGAAAACCACGTGGTTAACCACCGTCGTAAGGTTACCTAACCACCAACTAGCTTCTTATTTTACCGTTATAAAAATTAAATTTTTTATTTAATTAATGTTAGTCGTGAGTAGCCAGTCGAAGTCGGGGGGAGGGGTCCGATGCAACCAAAGGGTGTAGGGGGTTTCCGCCTAATTTTCTTTGATTTTACCGCCAATATCCTGTGGGTGTAGGGGGTTTTCGGGAGATTTCATTTGATAATTAGGGTGACTAATTGGTCAATTAACACCTATTACTCAATACCCGCGGTCATCGAAGTCGGGGGTAAAGGGCTTATTGGCCAATTAGTAGTGCTAATTGGTTTTTTTCTTTTTTCACCTACATATTTAGAAAGAGGGGTATCGACGGATTTGGAGGGATTAAGGGTGTTAAAGAGTTAATTAACCCTCTTTTTTCATTAATTTTTATTAATTAAACCTGACCCTCTCCTCCTTCCTCATAACATTTCTCCGCATATTCCTCTCTTTTCTTCTCTCTCTCTTTTCTTGTCTTTCTCCTTTATATTTTTCAATACATTTTCTCTTCCTTCGGACATTTTTCCCATTGACTTTTTCCCTCTTTTTTCTCCTCTTCTATATTACGCCATTTCTCTTTTTTCCGCCTTTTATTTATTTTTAATTTTCAAATTTTAAATCCATCATTTTCACATTGATCTTTTTCTTTTTTCTCCTCTTGGTAATTCCAAGGCTTGCCCACCCCCTTTTTTTTCATTTTCCCTTCCTTAAGAATGAATAATTGTCAATTTTCTTCCTTCCCCAATTTCTCTAATTCCCTGCGGCAAAATGCAAATCAGACATGCCTCTCCAAATAAGAGACATTAACAAAGAAAGGGTTAATTTATGAATCGATTAACATTGGTATATAACATTAGAATGTGATGAAAACATCACATTCTTAAAAAATGAGGGGACAAGCCTTGGAATTACCCTCCTCTTTTTATTTTTAATTTTCTTCTTAAATTTTAGAATTTTTAGATTTTAAAAAAATCATATTTATTTTAAAAAATGGTAAAAGAAGCTAAAACTACAACAACAAAAATCATATTTAAATGCGAATTTTGTGGAACTTGTTTTAATAAAAAGTTTAATCAACAAGGCCATGCAAAAAATTGTTTATTTTAAAACTTAAAAATTTTTTTATAAATTCAGGTCCAATAATCAAAAAAAGTAAAGAAGAAGAAAAAATAAATAAAATAGAAGTGAAAAAAAATTAAATTTTTTGAGGACGAAGAGGAGGAAGAGGAGGAAGAAAAAATTGAAGAAGAAAAAGAAAATAAAGAGGAAGAGGAAGAAAATAAAAATGAGGAAGAAAAGGAGGAAGAGGAGGAGGCCAAATTGGAGTATATTGAGGATTCAAAACCTACAACCTCTTCTGCTACTAAACAACAAGGAAGGAAGAAAGGGAAGAAGCGAGTTAGTTCTGTTGGGGATGACAAGAAGCCAGTGACGAAGAAGCAAAAATTGGAAGAGTCCACAAAGAACAATGAAAATGGTGGAGGTTTATTTAATTTAAAAATTTTTTTGAAAATTTTTCCCTTTTTCAAGTATTAACCAAGAAGCATTTTAAATTAAATGTCGAAAATATTTCTCTGATAACGAGTGTTCACCCAAGCGGAATTGAAGGGATAATGGATCTTGTGGCAGATGTTGTTATGAAAGATGGGTCAATCAATGAACTATGTATGAATTGTGTGAAAAAGAATTGTATGGTAACAGATTTGATCGCTCCTTATAACAAAAAATAAACTTTTTTAAACAATTAATCGTTTTTTTAATTGTATTTTTTAATATTTACTCAACTTTAATTGTATTACCGTATTTACTGAAATAGTACGGCCCCCTTTATTAGAACGGCCCCCTTAAATAGTACGGCCCTTTCGATGAGGGTTGAAAAAAGTACGGCCCCCTGAATTAGTACGGCCCCATTATTAGTACGGCCCCCATGAAAAAATAGTAAAAATCTCTTTAAATTATATTAATTATCCTCACAATATTAAGCTGATTTTATGAAATTTTAGTAGTATAGTAGTGATGGTCGGAAGTTAAAAAAAGCCGAGAGTCGAGAGTTAAATCCATCTTTCTTATTAAACTATTAAGACAACTGAGGTGTATACAACGGTGAAAAATCGGATATCCGAAACCGAACCGAAGAAGAGAACTGAACCCTTTACAAGAGTCTTTCCGCGCCTGTTTTAAATGCAGGAAACTTAAGTAAAATAAGATAAATTAAGTAATGTAAGGGGATTCCATTTATATTAGACAGGAAGAATATGAGGTTTTAAGATCACGGATTTAATAAAATCCGAAAAAGGGCAAAATAGGTCGAATTTTGCGTAAAAGGTCGAATTTTGATTAGAATTAAAATTTTTACAGATTAATATTTACTAAATTTAAATTCGAGGGGCTGCCTCCAAGAAAGTACTCTACTCAGGAACTACCTACTCTACTTTTAATTCCAGATACTTTTAATGCCTTTATATTTTGCTACTGTCGATGCTACTGTCGTTTTGATGCTAAGATGCTACTGTCGTTTTCATCCTTTGACTTTTTTTATCCTACCGACATCCCTCTTTTGAGGATAAACGTGAATGGATTCGGGACGCAATTGAAGTGTACCGTAAAGTCAGTAAATAAATTATTTATCTATAATTTATCAATATGAATAGTTAAAGAAAAGAATATTCAAATAGGCTTTACATTTTAATATTAATTATAATCATTTTATCAAGTCAAAACTTCTATTTTCAATATTTGCATTCACCCTGCCCTAGAACTTTAATTTGAGGAAGTGTTGCTGGACCACTGACAACAAGTCCAGCCTCGGTAAAGCTGTTACCTCCTTGAATTATTACATAGTCTGGAAGAACATAAGTATCTCCTGATATTTTTTGCACATTCCATATTGATTGGATAGTTTGCTAAAATTTGAGAAATAATTAGAAGATTTATTAGTCTTTAATGAGTTATATGTAGAGATAGAATTTTTAAAAAATCGGGAACGAGAAATTGTAGCAGAAGAAACCCTGCGGGACCCGGAATCAGAAAAACCGGAATTTCTCGGTTTCCATTTTTCCCGGTCAAAAATGACCAAGACCCGGACTGGGAAACCCGGGAAGTCCCGATCCCGGTTTCATCCCGGCATTTTAAAAAGTCGGGAAAAATGACCGAGAAACGGGAACGGGTTCCGATCCCGTTCCGGTCACTAGTTATATGTGAAATTTGAGTCTTATATTGAAGCGAAACCCGAGCCATTGTTGCTTTTATATCAATGAGTATTATGAGCTTATAATGACTGGTAAGCAATTTACGCAAACCTCTCTCCATTTATCACAGGTGTCCTAGTGTATGTACTAGCGAACTACAGGTGATTAATTTACCGAGTGATAAAAGTATTACGTCGTAACAGAATCGGTGCCTATAATTTCTATTTATACTCACCCCAGAATTAAGAATCAAGTCGAATTTTAATGCGCATGCTTTAACATTTCCATTGTTTTTGAAGACCAGTCTGAAGTTCGCACCGCTAACCCAGCTGCCATTATCTTCAACTGTTAAGCTAATGGAATTTTGACCCTCACTGCCATTACTTGAGTTTCCATTGTTATCGTTTGAAGGTGATTGTGTTGTAGTTACATCAACTCCTGAAGGGTATTTATTGTTATTATTTGAGGGGCCTGAAGGATATTTGTTATTGTTTGAAGGTGATTTTGTTGTTATGATTATATTATCTCCTGAAGGGAATCCTCCTCCGTTGTTGTTGACCTTTGAAGGTGCTGTAGGGTATCCTCCTCCGTTGTTGTCCTTTGAAGGTGAGTTTGTCGTCAATACTACATTATCTCCTGAAGGATACTTTCCATTGTTGTTATTATTTGAGGGTGCTGAGGTATTTTTTCCTTTGTTATTCTTGGGCGATTTTGTTGTAATTACTTGGTCTCCTGAAGGATATTTCCCATTGCTGTTATTATTTGAGGGTGCTGAAGGATATTTTCCATTGTTGTTATTCTTGGGCGATTTTGTTGTAATTACTTGGTCTCCTGAAGGATATTTCCCATTGCTGTTATTATTTGAGGGTGCTGAAGGATATTTTCCATTGTTGTTATTCTTGGGCGATTTTGTTGTAATTACTTGGTCTCCTGAAGGATATTTCCCATTGCTGTTATTATTTGAGGGTGCTGAAGGACTTTTTCCGTTGTTGTTATTTCCATTTGAAGGCGATTTTGTTGTTAAAATTATATTATTTCCTGAAGGGTAGTTAATGTTGTTAGGTGATTTAGTTGATGGTACATCATCTCCCGAAGGGTATATATTTTTCGAGGGCGATTTTGTTGTTGTGATTACATTATCTCCTGAAGGATATTTTCCTTTGTTTCCATCACAGCTGACCCCGTTATCCATGTTTTTAAGATGAGACTGAACAAATTTTCCATCTGCTGACCAATGATCAGGATTGCCTACATCCGATGCAACAGTATTTGGATTAAGAGCTGCAGATCCTTCTCCCTTATTACTAATTGCCCAGTTTAGATATGAAATTTTGTTTTTATCCCAGAAAGTCCACCACTCATTCATAGATGCAGTATCCATACCTCCACCACCAGTTGCTCCAACAGTACCATATTCGGATACAAAAATGCAAACATTCTAAAAGAAATTTTTATTAAAATAATTTTACAAATTTATTACATTATCTAGAGCAGTTTGAGCTTTATCCCGTATATTTTGTTTATGAGTAGCTGCATAGACGTGCAAAGTGTAGCACAGATTTGCCCCATTTACAGGGTCTCTAGAAGCAATATCAACATCTTGTGACCATGTAGATGTGCCAAGAGTTATCATATTATTCTTATCATATTGTCGAATTGTTGCTACAATCTGCTCGTGATATGCCTTAGCAGTTTTCCAGTCACATGTAGGTTCATTGAATGGTTCATAGATGATGTTTGAGTAATTTCCATATTTAGAAGCAAAATAAGTGAAGAATTCTTTCTGAAAATTAATTTTTGGGTTAATTAAGCAAAAATTCCAATAAAAATTCACAGCTTTATCTAAAGAGTCCTGCGCTTTCTCAGTGTGATAGTCAACAACAGCATACATATCCAATTTAATAGCAGCCTGAACAACAGCCTCAACCTTATCACGCTCAACATTTGGAAGATCCAGATAACCCGGTTTTTGACACCCAGTAGATTCTACACCCATTGCCGCTCTGACAGCGTTAGCATTCCACGCGCATTTGAGTTGACGCAAAGTTTCTTCGTTGTAGAAAATTTTGCCTTCATCACAGTTAGACCAGAAGAGTGACATTCCAGCAAGTTGAGCTGGTTGGCCATTACTGCCCAATAACTTGTTGCCTGAAATTAGGGATTTTTTATCTCAATAAAGGTTATTTAAATGAGAAAATAAATACCTTTCACAGATAATTGCCCAAAAGGAGGGGCGGCGTTGATATGATAGATAGATGAGAAGGATAATATTAATACTAAATAAAGCATTTTATTTTTTTATTTTTTTAGGTTTTATTAATTTAAATAATTAATATTATGTATTGAATAAAATTCAAAAATTCGGATTTTCTTAAGTAGTCAATACCCATTAAAAAAATTTTTTGCCCCATCCGCTTGCGTATATGCCCATAATGTTTAAACAGTCAAAATTTATTGAGTATAGAGTTAAACATTTTAAATTAATCCACGTGTTTCTGAATTTCAATTTTAATGTTAGAGCCGTTTGGGCGCACTCCCCTAAACTTTAGAACAAAGTCTTAAATTCAGACCTGACTGAAATCAGACCTCGAAAACATGCTCGAGTATATCTCATCAAATTTTGAACAAACACTATAAATAGTTAATTGTGGAATTGTCTCAAAATTTCAGGAAAATGTGACAGACAAACCGCTTCAACCTAAAAATTTGGGTGGTCAAATCATTTCAGGGTACTTTATTAATATCCATCCTATACCCTTATTTGAGCTCAGATTAATTTTTTGCTGTCAATCTTTCCTTACCTCACAAATTTTAAGTAAATACCGTAAATGCTCTAATAGAAGCACATGTGCTTGTATTTTTCGATCCTCTCGTAGAGTGTGCTTATATTAGAGAGTGTGCTTCTTTCAGAGAGTGTGCTTCTATTAGAGCATTTACGGTAACATGTTAGAAGGAAAAAAATTAGAAAGGAGGCCGGTAATCTTCCGCTTTACTGATCCCTAGAAAAAAATGAGGAAAAAGTGCTAGTTTGACATTTCTGAGGCATAGCTTGATGAGTCCGAATCAGAGCTTAGAATTTGTTTATTTCGAACCCCGGACCGCCATGTTCTAAGCCCATATTCGGACTCAGCACACTCGATTACCCACTTGCAGACATCAAAAATATCGAAAAATTACATCTACCAGATTTTTTTCGAGGGACCAGTAAAGCGGAAGATTACCAGCAGTTCTAACTTTTCATCTACTTAAAATTTGCGAGGAAAATAATAATTGACAGTAAAAAAAGAAAAATTAATAACAGACTCAAATAGGGGGGGGGGGGTGGGTGGGATACTAATATAATGTCCATTTCCAGTATCACTATATTTTTACCCAAAAATTTAATAGTTTCAGTCTTCCTATACAAAATTTAACCCTCACGCCATTAAGGCTAAGAGCCTAAACGTCCTTTCCCATCTATCACAAGCGTGTTTGAAAGCCTGCCAATTTTTTCAATTTTAGAATTAAAAAAAATTTTTTAAACCTAAAATTAGCAACCAACTAAAGCGGTTTTCTAATATCCGGTAACCAAAGATTATCCACATAGTTAACAAAGTTATAAAGAAATTTTTAAATTTAAATTTAAAATTATAAATCAATTTTAAATCCACAATGGCACTTGATGTGTTTACTTATGAATAGGTAGCGGATTTATATGGATTTCCATACAAAAAATAAAGTTTTAGCATTGTTGATAATACTGATAATGGGTTATCAATCCGCATTGTTAATTGTTCGGTTCGTACCCCCCACTCCTTTTCCTTTCTAAAAGTATTAAAAAATGGTCAGTCAGTCTTAGGTTATAGAACTCGTCGAGCTGTGTCGAATGACACCTAAATCAACCCCCGGTCTTAACTTTGGGCCGAGATGCAGACCCCCGAAAATTGTAAAACAATAGGGTGGACCAAGCTCATTTTTTGGGCTAAAAATTCGTTAAACTATTAATAGCTCATTCAAAAGAGCCTGTCGAACTGATTCGAATGAAATCAAAATCAACATAATTGAACAAGATTTGACAAAATTATGACATAAAGTAATCCTATTGTAGTCGCGAGACGATTTTGCAAAACCTTTCGGTTTGCGCAGGGTTTTTTCTGTATCTCGGCCCAAAGTTAAGGCCGAAGGGGGGGGGGTTGATTTTTGTGTCATTCGACACAGCTCGACGAGTTCTATACATTTTTTAATACTTTTAGAAAGGAAAAAGTAGGGGGGTCAAAATACTTGCCAATAAATCCGAACTATTACCCATAAAACAATATTTTAGCATTGTTGATAATACCGATAAAGGGTTATCAATCCATATTTTCCATCTTTAGTCCATATCTCCAGATTTTTAAATATTTTGGTTAATATTTCGGTACTTGTGTAGTTTCCCCCCATATGTCCCGCCCACTTTCTCTTCTTTCTTTTTTTATTAAAAAATGACATTTGGAAACCCTTCGGTCCCGGGTCTCCGAAAAGCCCTGGGTTTCCGTATTGCAAGTCGCATGTGTTCACCACCACGGCATGCCATTTTTATTTGCTCTTTATATTAAGATGTGTTTCGAAATCAACTGACGACGACGATCTATAGTAATATTTCTATGTTCAAATACATAGATATTTATATTTCTTAGCAAATCTTGCCAATCCAGAATGTGCTGTTTTGGCCCTATAAGCGATAGGGAGAGGATGAAGTATGAGAGAGGATGAAGTAATGGAGAGTCTCCAATGTAACTGTCAAGAACAATTATTTCCAAAACATTTGTTGCTATCAAAAACACTAGCTATTTATTTATTTTTTTATAATTATTTAGAATCGATAATTTAAAATTATTTTTTTTTTCTCTATCGCAATAATCAATGCTAGAAAGGGCATGTCAAAAAAAGGGCAATTCAACAGGGCAATGCCAATAAATAGATTTCACGTGAGCGCAGTCTATAGAGAGATGAGGGAGAGGGAACGTGAATGAAGAATGAAGGCAATAGAGAGGGGAGGGTAGGGGGAACGTGAATGAAGGCAATAGGGAGATGGTGGGGGGGGGGGGGTATGGGAGGGACGTGAGTGCAGACAATAGAGAGATGAGGGAGAGGGAACGTGAATGAAGAATGAAGGCAATAGAGAGGGGAGGGTAGGGAGGACGTGAATGAAGGCAATAGAGAGAAAGGAAGGGGACGTGAATGAAGGCAATAGAGAGATGGGGGGAACGTGAATGAAGACAATAGAGAGAAGCGGGGGGACGTGAGTGCAGGCTATAGAGAGATGGGGGGGGGGGACGTGACTAAAAGCAATAGAGAGAGGGCAGGGTAGGGGAGGGGGACGTCAATGAAGGCAATAGAGAGGGGGGAGGATGTCGGCAAAATAAATATTTTTAATCATTTGATAAAAATAATAAGCATTATGGTGTGTTAAGAAATTATATGAACACTCATATTTTTCTTGTTTATCTGGGTTCCTGAAGGTTTATCAGTTGTAATTTTTACAATAGTTATTAAATGTAATTTGTACAATATGTATATCCATAATATCTTAAGTTTATTTATCCGAGAAAATTTTTTATTCCAATTTTTCACAAAAATAGGTGTTAAGAAATTATATGAACACTTTTTAAAAATTTTATTTTTAAAATTTAAATTTTAAAAATTTTATTCATATTAGAAATGCTTGAAAAATTTTGCAAAAATTTCTGTGAGTATTTTCATTGATATTGAGTAGAAAAACAAAAAGAACGAAGTCTTTAAATAACTTTTTCATCGAGATCTCGAATCTCGAAAATCAACGAGAAATTGGGGTACAGTAACTTAAAAAATATTTTAGCCCGTTTAAAGTAATTTAAAAAATTTCTTTTAGGCCTATCTGAAAGCCCTTGAAATTTGCTACATGATGGCATTTATCTTATTTTTTAGAAAAATATTTTATTAAATTATTAAGCTTTAAATTTCTAATGAGAAGAAAAACGCTTAAATGCTCCAGTAAATGCCCCTTAGGGTTGTTTTTCTTAACACCTATTTTTGTGAAAAATTGGAATAAAAAATTTTCTCGGATAAATAAACTTAAGATATTATGGATATATTGTACAAATTACATTTAATAACTATTGTAAAAATTACAACTTGATAAACCTTCAGGAACCCAGATAAACAAGAAAAATATGAGTGTTCATATAATTTCTTAACACACCATATAGGGAAAATATTTTTTTAAATTTCATAATAAAATAAATAGCGAAGAAAGTAAGACCTTCTGGCAGTTATTGCAAGGAAGCTTTTTAGTAAGCTTCATAAAAAGCTAACCATCTGGATGATTCCTTACTCAAATGGTAGTGAGACATATCGGAACAGACCTTTCAGGATACCATCTTACGTGTTTAAGTTGGAAGTCCGTCGGATGAGTCCATCGGCTAATCACCTTTATCTTTAATATGTATGGCAATGGACCCAGTGGCCGTAATCTAGGACCCAGTGGCCATAATCCAGGACCCAGTGGCAGACCCAGTGGCCATAATCCAGAGCCCTCTGGCAGACCCAGTGGCCCTAATTCAGGACCCAATGGCCGTAGGTCCCGAAATCAAAGTGGCAGATCGAACTATCCCTTGATGTTTGCCCCAATATGTCTGGCTCCCCTCAAATTACTATGAGTTTCCAACTGAGATATAAGCGAGTTTTAAATTCGTTATTCAAAAATTGCGGATTTTAGTCTATAAAAATTTTCTAAAAAATTAAACAAATGTTGCTTTTGTCAAACTATTTTGTTTATTTTATTTCTTTATTATTTACCAATTATTTGTCAAATTTTGTTGATGGAATGTATCCTTTTCAACATGTAAAAATTTTTTTTTGTAAATTAATTTAAAAATGTTGGCTTAATACTAACTTATCAGGGGTGTGCCACAAAAATTCTAAAAAGCCGGATTCCAAAGAAGGAATGGGGTAGGACATTTTCTGAGTATGGCATTTTACGGAGGGTTTTATGACATTTTAGGAGGGTTTTATTCATTAGGACATTTTGGGGGAGGACATTTTTTGATAGTACATTTTGGGTCACAGTCTAATAAATTCTTATAATCATCGTTTATTTTTAACGCTTAAGGGTTTTTATGAAGGTGATGACATTGAAGAACAGCACGGTCATGTTGTCGAGCATGGCTTTATACACCCGGCATTATTAGCAGCTACACGCGATGAGGATAACCAAGATCAGCGCAGCAACGTTTATATCACTGATAGAGAACCTGGTAACGATAATTGGAAATACATAACTTTGAATTTAA